ACTGCCGTCTCGCTCAATGCCTTATTCGAAGTCGCCCATGTCTGCAAACTCTTCGCACCCAGGGCACATCTGTACACCAGGCCCTTTATCGAGCTGCCCTTCGTCGAAAGAGCCAATAGCGAAGAACTTGTTGCAAACGGCGCAATGCGTGAAATCCGCCGTAAGCGGCACCCGGAAACCAATCTTCACTGGGCCCTTCTTCATTGCACCGCTGATGGCCTTCGCGATCGCTTTCTTATCAGGCTGGACATCCACGCCATCCACCCGGTGGATCACCCAGCCGACCTCAACCTTCAGCTCCGCAGCCTGGCCCTCTGTGATCTTGGTGATGACGTTTCTCTCAATCTCCATGCCCAGCTTGGCAGCTTCAAATTCGACAAGGTTGAACATCTCCACTCCGTCGTCGCCGTAGTACTCCGCGTTCATGTCGTTCGCCGCGTCCTCGCGGGCGGCCTTGTTGTTGGCCCGCAACTTCGACACGGCCCCAGCATTCTTCATCGACTCCGCTCGGCTCTGGGCGCTGGCCGCCAGCATCCGAAGCTTGGCCGCCGCGATGAGCTCGGCGAGGCCGTCGTCGTCCGCGGGGAGCTTCGCCCTGCCACCAGGGCACTCACACTTCGTGGGGCCGAGCTGCGTAGCCCCGCAGGTTTTGCACACCACCACGTCGGCACCGATGGCCTGCTTGATGGCCGGAAGAGGATCACTCGGCACAACTACTTGAAGCATACAGGGGAGGCCAGTACTGAAGAAACCTTCCACAAGACACCCGACCCTGAGACCCCAGGACGTCCATTGATTTTTGGTGTGGTAAAGTCACGCTTTCCATGGCAAAAACATCGAAAACCAAGAAACCCAGAGCACCCTGGAGGCAAGCAGGGTGTTTCTTGGCATGGGCCTCCATTGTAAGCTTTCGGAGGTCCGCAGCGGACTTCTCGGATCGGCGCTAGACGGCCAGAGGTGCCGCGAGGGGGCCCCAGCGCCGACCCTAGACAAATCCGTGCGGCCCCAGCGCCGACCCTAGAAAATCCGTGCTTATGCCGATTGTTCTTCTTCGAATCGTACCGTTCAGGCCCAGCGACTTCTCGTACTCCTTCTGGGCAGCCTTGAGGGCCGCATTCGCCTTGCCGACCTCCTTGGACGCCTTGGAGGCGGCAGCTCTGCTCATCGTCCCCGAGCCATGGCCCGTCGACTGGTGAGAGGGGGGCTGCGTGAGCCAGAAATGGCTGCGGACGGAGGAGGAGGAGGAGGAGGAGGAGGAGGAGGAGGAGGAGGAGGAGGAGGAGGAGGAGGAGGAGGAGGAGGAGGAGGAGCAGGAGGAGGAGGGAGGAGGAGGATGAGGAGAGAGGAGGAGGAGGTCCGAGGCGTCGTTCTCCCATCCTCGGCAGCCGGGGGCCCGTCGCGGGCCCTGGGGCACTCCGATGCGGACCCCGGGGGCGGAGCGCCTGCAGGGCGACCTCCCCGCGGAGGGGCCCGAGGGCCAGCTCTCGGGACGGACCTCTGCCGGAGGAGGGGCGCACATCGCCCGACGCGAGCGCCTTCCCCAGACATTCGAATAGGAGATCAAGTGCAAAGCTTGCTAACCCCAGAACTGATTTTCTTTCGCCGGATCGCCGAAGGAATACGTGGCAGTCCACGAACGCTTCGCCTCTTCCTCCTCTCTAGATGCGACGAGGAATCAATTTCGGGGTGAATCAATTCTGTAGTTGATCCCCTACTCGAAGCATCTGACCGCTCCAATTTTTGGGGTGCGCGTGCCTCAGAGGTCTGGACCACTTCCCCGGGGCCGCTTCTTCGTCCTCCGTCGTCTTCTTGCCGCTCCCGAGGCCCGGCGCCCCCGGAGGCCGAAGACTGCCCACATCCCGCCGCTCCAATTCTGTTTTGGGGGGGGCGCCGGATCTCTGGGTCGACGGGCAACTCGCGGACGGCGTTCTTCAAACCTTGGGCTGCTCGTGACCATCGCGCCAGCTGGGCTCCCCTGTGGCGACTCCCCAGGGGGAGCTGACGACCCCGCTGGTGGCGACCCCCGTTGCGGCGGCGACCCCCCAACGTTGCGACCGTCTCAAGCCCTTCCCTGGGACACACCCTCTCGGTCCGAACAAGCGCTTAACGGGCCGGGGCCCCGTCCCCCCAGGAGCAGAAATCGGCCAACAGCCTCCCGCCGTGATTTTTCCCGGACGCAAGGAGGCCCGGTGCTCCCCAGAGGGCGACTCCCCGAGAGGAGGCGGCGACCTGCGGCCGACCACAGAAGCAATGCAAGGCGCAGGGCAGGGCAAAGTCCGACCGCGCGCGGAGGCCGCGCGCGCCCTACGGGTGGCGACGGCGTTGACGTCATCCCCTCCTCCTCCTCCTCCTCCTCCTCCTCCTCCTCCTCCTCCTCCACTCCTCCTCCTCCACTCCTCCTCCTCCTCCTCCTCCTCCTCCTCCTCCTCCTCCTCCTCCTCCTCCATTCGAAGCCCTGACGCCAAGCATGGTGACGTCTCGCGCTTACCTCGGCCAGCGCCCGCCGGCGGAGCCGCCGCCGTTCCTGGGGGAACCAAAGGGTACCGGTACTGCTCTACTCCCTGGGCCTCTCCCTGGGGGTGCGCGCTCTCCCGGGGTGCGCGCTGACCAGAGATCTCGAGGAGAATCCGGCAGTGGTGACGGGGGCCTCCCAGGAGGCTCAGAACAGCGAGAACGCGGCAAGGCTGGCGGCATCGGTACCTTTCCCTCCGCTGAGTTTTACTCTCGCCGGCTTCTGCCGAGAGCGAGGCTGTGCCGAAGGTCTGGAACGCCCCGTGATGCGACGAACCTGGCTTTGCTGCGACTGCGCTGCGCGCGACCGCTGGCGCCGCGGCAGAAGAAGACGTGGCAACCCCCGTGGTGCTGATGGATCGGCGGCAACGAGGCCGAGAGCGGGGCAGAGCGACAGGCGAAGCCAGAGGCCATCGGGGCCGACACCGGCGGCAGTCGAGCCGAAGTGTGCATCGGACCGGGCTGCATCGGCACGGAATCGGGATGGAACCGGATCGGCTGCGCCAGGGTGCACCACAGCGCCGCGCGAGCGCCGGGCGGCATCGGGCCGCCGGCACATCGGGGCCCCATCGGATCGGGCAAGCCAGAATCGGCATCGAAGCTGATCGATCGGATCGAGACGTGCCCCGTGGTGCCCCCCCCCCCTTGGCGGCGCGCACAAGTGGGTAGGGGCAGGGGGGGAATGAACGGGGCGCTCAGGAGAGGCCCATGTTGAACACCACCAGTGTCCTATCCTTGTAGCTCTTGCGATGTTCAAGACTCGAAACCAAAAACTATGCACAACTCTCAAGGGAAACGCCTGGCCTGCCCCACCGAAACGTCTGGGGGAGCGGCCCGGAGGAGTTATCTACAAGAGCGAGGACCATGGCGGGGACGAGGACGAAGAGGAGCTGGGGAGGGGGGGTGACGGACGAACAACGACAGGACGACCAGGACACGAACGAGGAGACTGGAAGGAGAGAAACGAGAGAAGGGCGAAGGCTGCTGTCTATTGGGGAAACCATGAAATACCGATATCGCTACTCCCCGGACCTCTCCTTGGGTGCGATCTGACCAGACTCTCGAGGCGACTCCAGCGGCGGCGACGAGGGCCGCCAAGGAGGCCCCCCAAAGAAGGGGAGAACGAGGCAAGGGCAGCGGTATCGGTGTCGTTCGTCGTGTCCTCGTCGTCCTGTCGTTCGTGTCTCCTCCTCCTCCTCCTCCTCCTCCTGCTCCTGCTCCTGCTCCTGCTCCCCTTCCTCCTCCTCCTCCTCCTCCTCCTCCTCCTCCTCCTCCTCCTCTTCCTGCCTCTCTCCTCCTCCTCCTCCTCCTCATCTCACCCGCCTCCTCTCTCCTCCTCCTCTCCTCCTCCCTACCTCCCTCCCTCCCTCCTCCCTCCCTCCCTCCCCTTCCCTCCCTCCCTCCCCTCCCTCCTCCTCCTCCTCCTCTCTCCTCCTCCTCCTCCTCCTCCTCCACTCCTCCTCCTCGCCTCCTGGGTCTACTCGCTGCATCGGGTCTCAGGCCCGCATTTGGCCGGGTGTGCGGGCGCACGCAGGGTACGCCGCACCCGCGGGGGGGGGGGAGGGCGGCGGCTCCTGGACAGCCGCGCAGCCGAGGTGCCGCCGCAGAGCGGCGACAAGCACCTGCGCGGTGCGGAGAGGAGGGGGAGGAAGAGGGGGAGGAGGAGGGGGAGGAGGAGAAGAGGAGGAGCGGAGGAGGAGAGGAGGAGGAGGAGGAGGAGGAGGAGGAGGAGGAGGAGGAGGAGGAGGCGGAGGCGGAGGCGAGGCGGAGGCGGAGGCGAGGAGGAGGAGGAGGAGGAGGAGGGTAAGAGGGAGGAGGAGGAGGAGGAGGAAGGAGGAGGAGGAGGGAGGAGGAGGAGGAGGAGGAGGAGGAGGAGGAGGAGGAGGAGGAGGAGGCGGAGAGGAGGAGGAGGAGGAGGAGGAGGAGGGAGGAGGAGGAGAAGGACAATGAGGAGGAATAGGAGGAGGGACAAATGAGGAGGAGGGAAGGAGAAGGAGGAGGGGAGGAGGAGCAGGGAGCAGGAGGAGGAGGAGGAAAAGGGAGGAAGGAGGAGGCGGAGGCGGAGGCGGAGGCGGAGGCGGAGGAGGAGGAGGAGAGGAGGAGGAGGAGGGAGGAGGAGGAGGAGGGGAGGAGGAGGAGGAGGCGGAGGAGGAGGCGGAGCGGAGGCGGAGGCGGGGGGGAGGAGGAGGAGGAGGAGGAGGAGGAGGAGGAGGAGGAGGAGGAGGAGGAGGAGGAGGAGGAGGAGGGAAAAGGAGGAGGAGGAGGAGGAGGACAAATGAGGGAGGACCAGGAGGAGGACGGGAGGAGGAGGAGGAGGAGGAGGAGGAGGGGAGGAGGGGAGGAGGAGAGGAGGAGGAGGAGGAGGAGGAGGAGGCGGAGGCGGAGGCGGGGCGGAGGCGGAGCGGAAGAGGAGGAGGAGGAGGAGGAGGAGGAGGAGGAGGAGGAGGAGGAGGAGGAGGAGGGGAGGAGGAGGAGGAGGAGGAGGAGGAGGAGGAGGAGGCGAGAGGAGGAGGAGGAGGAGGAGGAGGAGGAGGAGGAGGAGGAGGAGGGGAGGGAGGAGGAGGAGGAGGAGGAGGAGGAGGAGGGGGAGCAGGAGCAGAAGTGACCAGAAGTGACCATGAAAGGACGAGCGTCCGCAAAACTAAACGGGTTAGGCGGGGACTAATCCGACGATGAGTCCCCGCCTTCACGGTGAGGGATCCTGGTGGGTCGGCGAGCCGCTCCACCCTCACCTCCCACACAGAAAAGGGGCTGCTGCATTCCACTCTCCTCCCGAGCCTCCCTCGCACGCTGGACCGCGTCCGAAGCTTCGCGCTGCACTCTGGCCAGCTGCACCGCCTTCGGGGGTCCCCTGTGCGAAGGAAAAATGCCTCGACGAATCCTGTCAAGGTTCTGGGCTCCTTTGGGGGGGGGCTCCTGGCAAGGACGTGCGAGCCACCTACCATCCACTGTGGCGGTCAGCCCACAACAAACACAAAAATGCAGGGAAAACTCAGGCCAATAGAAGATTTTGTGGGACGAGTGGGCCGAGGTGGCCCCAATCAAAATCTCTCCAGTCCTCAAGACAAATTGGCTCCACTCCGACTTCTGACCTCGGATCTCAGGGGCCAGGCCTGGACAAGACTGAGCGCAAAACTTGAGGAGCTGGGCGGAAGCCACAATCTGACTGCAAACCCTACAGCGCCACCTGCTCCCGACCTGCTCACAATCATGAGAGGTGTCCCTCAGGGCAGCAGCCTTCCTGGAGGGAGGGGGCACCCGCACTTTGGCGAGCCTTGTGGCCTGCCAAGGGTCAACCTGGAGTGAGCACTGCAACGCACGTCGGGCCCTGCGTCTGACAAGGTGGGCGATGCAATCATAGATGTCAGTACTGGGGGCAGGCTGGCGAGTATACAGGAGCAAGGCCTCGTCAGCCGCTTTACCCGCAAGGTCATCAGCGCACATGTTGCCAGCAGTGAGGAAAACTTGCCAAGCACTGAGAGCCTTGCCTGTGTCTTCTAGATGGGCAGCCGTCCACGCGACCTGCACTTCAGCCACCCCCCGATTACGCAACGCCACCGCCACCCTGTACCACAAGTCCTGATTCGGGCCTAGCTTGCCGTGGGCTCGACCTGCTCTCCAACCATCCAGGACAGGCTGGCAATCAGTGATATAAATGATGGGTCCCGTGGTTTCTTCCAGAGCGATGGCAAACGCAGCTATCTCCGCGCGCGACACGGTCTGCCGCGGCCCCAGGAGGGGGGAAGAGACGCCCGCGACCGGCTCCCAGGAGCCATCCTCAGCCCGACGAATGAGGGCAACTCCAGAGCCACAGCGCCTGCGTCTCGGGTCACTGCTGTATTTCCCCCCCGACCCATCTCCAAAAATGTGGGGAGGGTCCTGGCCAGGGGCAACACAAAACTCGCTGAGGCGAGAGGAGCCGTAGTACGTGAGAGGAGGGGCCTCAAGAGGGTCAAGGAAGACGGGGCAGGTGAGGTCTCTCGACGGGACTCCTCTCAGCCATAAAGAAGGGTCTGCTTCCCATTGCGCCGTGGCTTGGGAAATCAGTGACTGCGTGCTGCTAAAATCTTGGTGATCTACATTACACGCGCACTGCCATATTCTGTGAAACAAGGTCTCAGGGGCCGCCTTGCACCTTGGACAAGTTACGTCAACCGTGTAGCCACTGTCGGCTTGGCGCTGACGTGGCCATTGGCCCCCCGAGGCCACGCACATGGTGAGGCCCCACAGGTCCGCCTGACCCCGAGACTCGAAGCGACGGAGTTCCTGCTGCAGGGGGAGGAGATCGGCTCCTTCTTTCAAACTGTCGCCTGCCTCGTGCCCTGCAGCACCTTGCCACAACTTAGCCTTCATATCGGAAACAAACTCATGCAACAAGTCTGCATGGTCAGAAATCGGGAGTAAATCGTAATCTGGGTCGCCCATTCGTGGGAACCTCCACGCATGCTCCGCATGATCGGGTCGCTCCCACAGGTCAGGTTCCCTGGGCTCCCATCCTGCTTCAAGAAGGGTGGCCTGGACTGCAGCTATGGGCCCCCGAATGCCTCTCCACCTTTTGGCGCCAAGCGAATCGAGCTGCGACCGAACGATACCCCACGACCGTCGAATTCGAGGCTGGAGGGCGGGGAAGCGCTTCCACAGCTGCAGCCAGGCGTCCACCAATTGGCGGCGCACTTCCAGGGCGGGATCTCCATCCCCCAGCACCGTCTGCAGAACAGTTGTTAAACATTTGCCCTTGCCCATTCCCGAGACCGTGCGAGCAGCTTGTCGCCTAAGAAGCAGGACCTGACTCGGTGGCATACCATAAACTTGATGGCCAAAGCTGGCCTGTGGTAAGGCTCCCGTGCGCCAAGCGCCCTGGGTGACTTTCCTCAAACCAGCCAGCCTGCGCATCTTCACAATCCTAGAAAAACGCCCGCTGGCTTTAGTCATTCTCTGGCGTGCCTTCTTCCGTGTCCGAAAACGTCCTGCCGCAGTGTCTACACCTAAATCAACACCAACGGAAGCAAACCTAGCGGGCATCCCTCGGGCTCTGAAAATTCTGGCAATGTGCTTACCTAGCTCAGGAGAGGACGCCAAGACAACCGTTTTGTCCGAGACAGTGAGCCTTTTGAGTCTGAATCCCTCCGAGAAAGCTTCAGCTAAACCTTCCATCTCAGAAACAACAGTGGCCTGGGTGCCCTCAGATCTTCCCACAGTGTCATCGACGAAGGTCCATAACGAGGCCTGAGGGGCTCGAATGTGCGCAGCCTCCAGCACAGAATGCAAGAACACTTTTCCAAGGCAGACTCCATGCGACGATCCAGCCACAATCGAGCGGCCTGGGCAGAACGGTTCGCTGATGACCGAGCCCTCCTTGAGGATGCGCGGCGCCATGAAGAGCAGGATCTCCATGAGCAGCACCGTGGGAGGGAAGTTGAGCCCCCGCGCCGCCACCACCAGGAGGGTGAAGGAGATGGAGTCGTAGAACTTGGCAATGTCCAGCAAGACCGTCGCCGTTGCCTTGCCTGTGGTAGCAGAGGCCTCATCCATGAGGCTTCTCGTCATCGCGGCTCTCAGGGCGCTGCTGCCCCTGATGGCCGTGTCCCAGAAAGCAGAAAGTCCATCTGACCAACTGGAGGTGACCGAACTGCGCGCCTGACTCCACGTCTTGCAGCATTGCGGCAACATGCCCAGTACTCTCGTGCCTCCAGCTGGCTTCGGAATAACTGCACAAATAGTAGCTAACCACGCTGTCGGCCAAGTTTGCAGTAGCTCCGCTTGATTGAGGATACACGTGAGCTCAGACAGTCCAGCTTGAGGCATGCGTTGAAGGTCAACTGGGCCCAAGCCATCAACTCCTCTAGCTTTGTTTGGCGATTGTCGTCTAAGAATCGATTCAATCTGTCCTTCATTCAGTGGTGGCAAGGGGTCATCACGAGCATCCCTGGCCAATCCCTCCAACGTCCATAGCAAGTGCTCCCTGCTGTCATTATCCTCCTGCCACACTGCCTGCCAGAAGTCCTTCTTCGTGCGAATGAGTACGCAAGGGTCGGCGGTGTCCACGCCATCTCTGATGATCTCACGAGGAAGTGGGTCAGGGGGAGGAGCGCGTACATGACGATGAATAGCACCTGGCCTCTTGGCCCACATCTGCTTCGCCCAGTCCATGAAGGCTTGGCGAGACTTGACTAATGAGCGCCCCTGGGCGCGGTCGACCCACGTGTTGGTGTGCACCTGGAGCTGCTCCAACTCAGTCTGGCTGAGGTGCGGCGCCTGCTGGGCAGCGTCCTTCCACTCTTGCACTGTGGTGGTCAAGGCCTCCTTCCCGAAGAATTCCTGCTGCTTGGTGTCTGTCAGGCCCTGGACCATGGACCGAAAGCCCGCGAGGCACTTCTCCGCCTCTGGAGGGTCCCTGCCTGAGCGTGTCAAGGCCGCGCCTCGAGCAAGCAGCGTGGAGGCGATCCCCCACCATTCGGCTACAGGGTCGCACATGTGAGGTCGACCTGGGGCAGGGCGCATCTTCCTCCATGAAATTGAATACCCTTGCCCTCTGCCGAAAAACATCGCGGGGTCTTCCACATCGCTGACCGCAACAATAGACCGCTCCAAGGTAGTGACCCATCGTCCATATCGATTATCCAAGGTAGAGCGTTGAGTGGGCCTCCAGGTCGACAGGGGACCTGTCGACAACTGTGCTGCCGCTGTTCGTGGTCTGAAGGTATCCTGCTCCAATTCGCCATAGATCTGGAGCCATGCTTCCTGCTCCAACTTGAACGCGACCTTGGGGCCTTCTGGCTGTGGCTCCTGAGATGGCAGGTCGTCGAAGGCCTCGCGCAGCTCTTCGGGGAGTTCCTGTCTGCGTGCTTCTGCCACCTGCTTGCGCTTCTGGGATCGCTTGCTGTCTGGGTTTGGCTCTTGCTGAGGGCGGTTGGCCCTGGGTAGCGGCTCTGGCAGTTCCAGCGACCTATGCCACCAAGTACGCTTGGCGTCCAGCACATCAATGGCAATAGCGCAATGAGTCTTCCAAGGAACAGCTAAAACTTGCCTGAGCCTGATGCGGTCCGAAGTAAGCTGCTTAGAGACAATGGCATAATCATACATGCGTCCCTGCCCCTTGTCGCACGTGAACTTGCAGTTAGGAAGCGCTAGCCGACCTCTGAGCCTGTCAACCCATCCACTATCCAATAGAATCTGCGGTTCGTTGTTCCAGTCCGCCACAATCACCCAAGGATCTGCCAGAGCTTTGGTAAATGCGCCCAATGCCACCAACACCTCATTGTTGTACTGAGCGATCCCCAGCGACGGTAGCAAGTACGCTGCAATGTAGACGAGGTTGCCCGACTTGAGGTGTAGCGTGGTGGCCGAGAAGCCTTTAAAGGGATCCATGCGCGAGTCGGCAATCGCCTGGTCCCTCAGTCTATCAAACTGTGTAGCGGCCAAGTGACAGCGCGTGAGGAGCCACTCCCCTGCCGAGATGCCTGAGTCCGACCTCCCAGAAGCAAAGCCTGCCTTGAACGAGAGCCTCCACCCGTCCTTCCTGAGTTCCTCTTTCCAGTGGGCGCACTTGGTGTCGGGGACATGCGTCTCGACCAGCCCCACGATGGCGTAGGTGTGCTTGTGACTGTTCACAAAGCTGCGAACCTTAGCGCCCCATTCGGTGATGTTCGCGAAGAGCAGCGTCACATGCTCGTCGGACGTACAGTGCTGCAGAACTGCTGGCTCTTCGTGTGTGGGCGCGCTGTCACCAGCGTGGGTCTGCCTGACACGTTGCTGCGTTTCTGACTCCGCATTGCAGTCCCGAGGTCGAGCGGCATCCAGCATAGGCAGACTCGACGAGGAGTTCCCCAAGACACCCAAGATCGCAGGCTCAGGGCCTCCAAGGTAAACATCCCGAGACGGGGTGGGGCTGGAGCCTATGGCGTCAGGCCTGCATCCGATGTTAGATTCCACAGTACAAAGCCCCCCCTCGTCCCCGAACTGGTCATCCAGGTTGGCGAAGGGGTCAGCGTCTGGATCGTCCAAGTCAGCACGCCGAGCAGCTCGAACTCCGTCCGCAGGCAGAGGAGCACACTGATAAACGTCTGGAGCCTCCGAAGAATTATGTTGCATGGCGTGTGGAACTGTACTTTGATTGGCCTGTCCCAGACTGGTCTCCGCATCCGCCAACATCACAAGGTGAGCAATGCAAGCGTCAACGTCTGCCTGATCATCCTCTGAGTCGGGCTGTCTGGAGCGAGGAAGCCGCACCGTAGGGAAAGTCGAGCCCAAGAGCCTCCTGAACATGGCTCTCAGCTCATCCAAGTGCGCCCAATGGCGGCGCTGCAGCTGTGCACGCCTCTCCATGGGCGCCGTACGAAGCCGCTCGAGGAAGGCCACACGCCTGGGCTCAGACTGCCTCCATGCCGACTCACATAGTTCTTCCATGACAGATTGCAAGGTGCGGCCTGGAAACCAAGCCTGCAACAAACGGCGCAAGGGCTCGTTCCCTTGTCGCTCAAGTATCGTGTGCAGAAACGCCTCGCACCAAAGCCGCCAATCACCACTTCCTGCGTTTAGCCCAAGATGTATGTCAAACCAAGCCGCTGCCCATTCTCTGAGGTCAGCTCGCATATCTGCATAGTCTTGAACTGCCATCGCTCTGGTCTCGTCAGCAGGCGGCAGGCCCATGGCCTGTGGTGACTCGGCAGCCGTCTCGTCATATCCAACGTTGCCAGCCTCCCAAGGTAGGCGAGTCCAGCAAACTCCTGTGCCCCCACCCACTCGCGCTGAGACCCCCGCCTCCTGTGGAGAGGGTGCCCTGGCGGGTGGAAAGCACAGGTGCGACTGTGAACCTGCACTGCTCTGGGCAGCCCAGGATTTACGTTCTGACGCCTGAAGCCCTCCTGCCGTCTCAGTAACTGACCGTGTGGAAGGCGATGTCCCAGGAAGGACGCGGCTCTTCTGAGTATCCGTAGCGCCTGTGGCGCCAGGCGGGCTCGCCCCCGCCGAAGCCGTGCTGAACGCTGTCCAGGACGGCATAGAACTCGGTGTACACGTCGAAGGGGTCCCCGTCACCACGTCAGAAAGCGAATGAGGGGCCCAGTCCATCATAGCTCGAACCTTCTGAATTGTGTCTAGCGCTTCGTAGCAGAATTTGTCAGACCACATAGCTCGACCAGAGGGAGCACATGCGTGAGCAAGAACATGGTATGCACATCCAAAGGGAATGTCCGTGCCTGGGTAGCATTGGAAGGGCGGTGTGCGCGAGATGAGCTTGAGCACACCCATTGACACAGATGTCCCACAATCAGGTAGCTGCTGGGCCCTCATGGTTGGGGCCCCCCCTGCGCTCGAACTTGGCCAATCGCTCGCGGACAGAGGCGAACTGTGCCTGCTGCTCTGGTCGGGAGACCTGTCCATCTGAGCCTTGGCCCTGGGGCTCGGACGTGGTCTCTGCGCCATCACCACCAGCACTAGCTGTCTCTGGCTGGGAACCCTCTGCACCTCCAGGCTTGGACTGGGGTTCCATGTCCTCAACATCCTGCACGCGCCGACGTTTGGCGAGTAGCCGTGTCTTCTGTGATTCATGCTCCTGGACCACGCGCTTGGCCTCGTCCAGCGCTGAGGAGAAAAGATCCTTGGCCTTCGTGGAAAGGAGCTCCCGCAACTGTGTGGTACGTTCTTCGATCCGTAGACGATCCTCCTCGTCCAGCTCCAATCCTTCAGGCATGTCTGAAAGGAGGCCCAGGTCGAAGTCCAGGGTGCCCACCTTGCCAGAAACGAGGTCCTCCAGCTTGATCCGCGCAGGCGCAGGTCCAGGTTCAGGAGTGGCAGCTTTGCCCGTGGCCGCAAGCTTGCGGGCGAGCTCAGCGTGCTGGGTGTCCATGATCTCCAACTCTGCACGAAGGCCCATGATGTAGTCCTCGTGCTCCTGCAGCTGGGCCTTCCACTTGTCGTGCTTATCCAGTTCACGAGAGAGCCGTTGAAGGAGCTTGTCACATTCACGTCGCGATTCTGCCAGTCGTTGTTCCATGGTCTTCTCGATGACTGGGGGAGCAGGCTTTGCCAGGGTGGTGATGCGTGCCTGAACTCGCGTGGCCAAGTTCTTGTCACCCGTCTTGTTGGCGATGGCCAGCAGAGAACCCAACTCAGCAGCATCCAGGCCATCAAGATTCGTCCAAGCCAGTGCTGGCGTGGAGGAGTTCGGCCCTGGCTGGAGGCCGGCGGCCAGCGGCAGACGGTGCTCTGAACCCTGACGGCTGTCATTCCACGACTTGTCTGATCCTGACCACGACTTGCCTGCCCAAGACGGCCAGTGCTGCGGCTGGGTCCATCCTGGTTCTGGTGTGCGATATGAAAAACAATGTTTGCACCACTGCCATCTCTCCTCGTTGCGTGCACATCCGCACTGACCACATCGCCACGTGGGCCCTGAGGCTGGGGGCCTGTGTAGCTTGCGTCGTACAACAGTGGCTTTCTTATTCGTCGACCCGTCCGCTCGCCAAGGGGCTGAGAGCAAATCATCCGTTCCCATCGGCGTGCCGTGGCTGGCAAGAACAAGAAAGGTACGTTAGTATGCCTGGCAAACGCCAGGAGAGCTGTTGGGGCCGCGTGCACCTCTGAGGCGCCCCCTTGCCAGAATGCTCACGTCCGCTGCTGATGCTTGGGCCACGCTACGGACTTGAGCCAAAATGGCTACGGAGGGAGCAGGAGCAGAAGGAGGAGGAGGAGGAGGAAGAGGAGGAGGAGGAGGCGAGCCTGTAGAAAAGATCGTGCCCGCAAGTGTTCGTGTACCCTGTCTCATCTCACTTCTTCTCTCGTCTCTTGCTCTTTCGCTCCTCTGACTGGCGCCTGATCGTCTCGCACACCCTGGCGCCCGCGGGCTTACAGTATGGACTTACTTACGACCCCGACCCCGACCCCGACGACGACGACGACATCGACGGAGACGACGACGACGACGACGACGACGACGACGACGACGACGACGACGTCGACGTCGACGACGACGACGCCGCCGCCGCCGCCGCCGAAGCCGAATGCGCCTCCAAGGCCCCGGCGTCCGCGGCGCGGTCCTTCCGCGAGGGCTCGCCTGCGCTCCCCCCCCCCCCCTCAGCTGCCGCAGAGTCGCGGAGGCGCCGCCCGACCCTCACTCCACCCCTCGCTTCACCCTCCTCTCTCCGCCCTCCCTCGCTCCCCCTCCCCCTCGTTGCCCCCCCCCCCCTCGCTTACCTGAACCTTCTCCTCCACCTCCTTCTCCTCCTCCTCCTCCTCCTCCTCCTCCTTCTCTTCCTCCTCACCCTGCTGCTGCGCAGCGCCACAGAGCAGCGATCCCTCCACGGGGGAGCCTTTTTTGCTTTTCCCCTCCACTCTTGATCGTTTCCCTCTGGGACTGTGCCCTGTATTTTTCTCCTCGTTCCCTTTTCAACTCTCTCTCATACTTCTTCATGCTTCTCTTGAAGGGGGTTCAACCCTTTATTCTTTCCTTCGGGGCGGGGTCGACCCTGGAGGCGGGGGGGGGGGCGACGAGGCCCAAAAACTCCGGGCGGCGCCGGGATGGCGTTGAATGAAGAGGCCCCAGGGGCCACTGCTTGCGTTCGCTTGTGCTCTGCTTCTTGCTTGTGTTCTGCTTCGCTCTGCAACGGACCTGGGGGGAAGTGAGAACGGGCGTCTCGGAAGGCTCGGAAGTTCCCTGACCTTCTGGAAAGTTTTCCAAACCTGCCCCCAAGACGCAACAGCTTCGCAGAAGGCGCAAGGGCTTCTGAGACACCCCGCCTCCTTCTGAGAAGGCCTTTTTTTTCTTACTCCCCCCCCCCATCGCTCGCCGCCGACTCACATGTGTTGGGGTCCGTGCTCCGCCTGCGAGGCGCGCTGGGGGTGAGCTGGTCCTGGGCATCGGCGGATCTTGCGGTGTGTGTTCTGTCCTCTCCTGGGCCATGTGCGCCATTTATATCAGGTGCATACTCCAGGCTCACCACGGTGCGCCAGGCGCGAGTAATCTGGCAACTGCGCCACGTGCACCAGGCATTCCAGGCGAGCCACGGTGCGCCTGCGGCCTCAGGCACGCTGGGTGTGCCGGGCGCGCCCTGTGCGCCAAGGGTCTTCGGCCCACCGAGGGCACCAGGTGCGACAGGCCTCCAGACCCCCACTGGCACGTTAAAACTGATCAGTGGCTATTGTATCAGGTATTCTACTGGCCATTGTGATCTTTTGGGTCCGTGTTCCATTCTGACGCGCGAGAAGAATTACAACCATACCGCCCGATTTCGGCAAAAGGGAGGTAGACACTTGACACAGCTCAACCACCAATATAAGAACTACTGGCGCGCTCATAATTGGCCAGTAAGATCGGCGGGACGTGAAGATGGGGTAGAGGCAGGAGTGAAGCGAGAGGAGAATCTGTCAAAACGGCCCGAGGAAATTGAATATCTAGCTGGGTATGTTCTCTTGGGATACCCCCCCTTTGCTACGATCCCCCCGGTGAGAAAACCAAGAAACCTCTGAAGCATACCCCAGCGTGCGGGCGTCGAGCTCCTCCTCAAATGGTCCAACACTTGCTACCCGAAGCACCCGTCTTCGAATCGCACGTGCGCGCTGTTCTCATAGCTGCTCGTGGCTTCGGCCCTGGCCCTAAACGGTTGTTTTTGTCGGTGCAACGCCTTCGTGTCTCCTCTATCAGCATCCCCCTAAACCCCCTCAGCTCACGCTTCTGCTTGTTGGCGGCGCTCTGCGGACAGCGCCTTTCGCAATCTCCTGGGGCTGCTTCGCTTCCACCGCGAGCTGCTGTTGTTTCAAGAATGTACCGATCTCGCCTTGCTCCTGCGCCAGCTTCTTGAGGGCCTGCTGCTTCTGCTTCGCAATGTCGAAGGTTGCGTCCGAGAGCTGCCCGAAAGGATGTCGTCGTATTCGCTTTTCGCCAGAAAGGGTCTCCTAGAACGTCCACCACTATATGCTGGATCCTCGGATGCACACTGGCTGGAGATAAACTCGGGTTGCTCTCCATCATCTGTTTCACCCCATCGTGAATATGTACCCGTGCTCCTCTGGCCTCCAGTTGAGGCTGCTGCCAGCCTGGGACTCCATCCAGTCCTTGGTCCAACAGGCCTGGCTCCGCGGTGCCATCGTGACGCTCTGTCTGTCTCTCTTCGGGGATGTACTCGCCACTGCAATCGTGTTGAACCTCGCGCCTGATTTTACGCTCGCTCGCGCTGGTCGGTGGCCACGGTGTCCTCCCATGCTCGCAGGCGCGAGATAATCCACCCAAGCTCGATCATTACCTTCGCCAGAGGTCCGCGTGATGACGTAGGTCGATCGGGCGCCAGGCATCTCCAGGCCCAACATGCGTCCAATACTGCGAGCGAGCACTGCCGTACGTGTTGAAGGCCTTCTGGCTGTTCGCTTTCAAAAGATCGTGCAGGCGTCAGCCGTTCTCGTCCCACTGGCGCGAACCACCCAACGTACAGGGGCCCGCCATGCCGACCCCTGGAGCCGCTCCACTGGCGCCGTACATCATGGCACCCCCGTCCATCGCGAGGACAATCTTCATGCACTGTGGTAAGGGCCGAAAACTTAATCAAACTCGTCCCAAAACTCCTTCTTTCTGCCGGCGGAGGTGGTGTCAGTCAGGGTGTAGGCATTAATGTACACGTCCACTTCGCGGCCGTCTGCCCCTGGATGTCGAACACGAAGCCTTTGAAGGCGCCCAGGGCACCAAATATACACCACCTCCATCCAATCCTTCGGGGTGCGGCTTGAGCTATCAAACTACAATCGGACGCATGAGCAGCTGTCCCCACCATCGGGTAAATTATCCACGCACCGTGGCTCCACTGCGTGTCACAGCTCGTATGTGTAGATTGCATGCGCACCGCCGCAGTGTCCTTCTCCATGGCTTGGTTAAGTAACTCGCAAACAACGACCACTGAACAAACAGCTTCTGCAGTTATAGCCCCGCACCTGAAGGTCGGTATGTCTGGCTTGCCGTCGTGGGTCCTTAGCGCGGCCTCGAGCCAGCTGGGGGCAGCCATTCAGAGTGCTCAGCACCCCGCGAGTCCTGGCCGAGCGAAGCGCGTACATCGTAGATGACGTCCCGCGAAGCTAGCTGCGTGGCCTGCTCGATGCTGTAGGGCCGCCCGCGGCACAGGCAATGCCCCGCACCCAGCAGAAGCGCCAGCGCCCGCAGCAAAGAACGCTTGGGCCTCGGCCGCCCAAGCTTGGCGCGTCGCCCGGGGCCAGCCTCGGCGCTGAATGAGCTTCAAGCGGCGGTTGGCACCACCGCAGCGCTCGCCGCCTGCGCCATGACTACGCTGGCACGTTCGAAGCCAAGCGCGCGAGGGAATGGCGACCCTCGATCGGTCGAATTATCGGATGGCTTGAGCCCGAACGGCGGCTTCACGCTGGCACTACAAACGCTTCACGCACGGCCTGCTTTTTTTCTGTGCGACGCAGTGCAGGTGAGCTTGGACATGCGCGATGCAACACCGCACTCGAATGCAACGGCTCAGCATCAAGACCGCCCCCGACCTTAGTCCACTCATGCTCGGTCTGCTTCTGGCTCTGTACGAAAAAAGTACCCGAACGTTCGAGCTGGCCAAGGAGGGCCCCAAGAGAGCCCCAAAGTCAGTCATCTCTAGGCCTCCCAACTTTTGCTGAAAGAATTTGCACGTATCGTTGTCCCAACCTTCCGACAGCCCAAGACGGCCCAAGAGGCCCCTGATATCGCTCCAAGATGGGCTCCCAAGGAGCCCCAAGATGCCCCCAAGACGGCCTTATCAAGTGGAGAGCTGACTAACATTGAAAGCCTGTTCTTTCCAAGACTGCCAGCAAGTCCCCCCCACGCCTCCCAGAACCCCCCAGGAGGCCCCAGAAACCTCATCCCCCGAGAGTATCCCAAGAGAGCCCGAGCACCACCCAACACGCCGCTGACACACAGCCCAGGCACGGTGCCAGGATGCACTGGCGGAGCTCCAGCGAGGGCGCCACCCTTCACCTTCCCAGCCCCCGCGAACGCAGGCACGCGCCAGCGATGATACAGTGTGCGCCAGCGGAATGAGCGAACCGATTGAATACCCAAGAAGAAGGGGAAGCAGGCAGGGGAGGGGAATGAGGAACAGGATTCAACGATGGACGGGTACCAGGATGAGGAAACGCAGCTGCACCTGCTAGCTGGACCCCCTGGGGCGGCATACATAACATGGCTGTCTACACGCGTTTGTTCTTACATTCATACTGACCTGCCCACGTATGCGCACACATGCGGTGCACATTGCGTACCTAGACAAGTATGATTATACATGTATATTCGCACACGCAGGTACAGGAACATGAACGTGCGCATGCGCACCCATATGCATACACACATGTTAGATGAATGCCATTACGTATGTATGCATACATGTACGTATGTATGCGCAGCTGTATGTCTGTATGCATACATGTGTACATGTATGTGGTATGCAGGTAGTTGTATATCTATGTATGCATGTATTCATACACACACCTATTCAATATACATACATACATACATACATACATACATACATACATACATACACACATACATACATACACACATATACATATATATATATACATATACTAGAACCATCGCGTGCGCTTCGCGCGCGCTAGCGACCTTCTTAGATTCCCTGCGCAAGCCTTGGAAACGTATTGAAGGGGAAATGCGGAAACCACACATTCATCGATTCTCTTTAGGTGTTCGAAGATTTGGGGCCCTCAAACGATTCCTGGGATCTTTCTTCGGTTGTGACGTGGGCCTTCATCATGACCTGTTGCGCAAAAATAAGCAGGGGGTAAGTTTGAAACACGGAATTCTTGGACTTCCCTTTTTTCCAATCGCCATGCCTGGGGCGTGTGTCAGAAGTTTCCTGGATACAGGCCGTGGACTCTTGGGACGCCTCTGGGGGCCGTTTGGCGGCGTCTTGGGAGTCTTTCGGGGCCTCTTGGGAAGCTCTTGGTGCCTCCTGGGAGCCTCCCAGGAGTCTCCGCAAGTTTCTCGGGGGCGCTTCGAAAGCCTTCGCGAAAACCTTGGAGCCATCTTGAGGGAAAGCGCTCGAACGGCTTGGGCAGGTCCTTTCTTTTGTCTCTTTCTTGGCGCGCGCGCGCGCTGACGATCTAGCTAGGCTGTACAGGTGAACTCATGGGATCTCGATTTTTTCAAGGTCGTTTCAGGGGCAGCCTAGACGACACGAAGACGACCCACGAGAGAGCCAAGACAGCTTCAGAGAGTTCAACAGCATTCCTGAAACATTCTTGCAATGTGACCCCGAAGTCTTGATGGGGCTCGGGATGAACTTGAACAAGAAGGAATCACTGGAATTCCTTTTTTTCCAAGTGGGGCCTCCTGACATGTATTGCACAGGAATCGGGGGGGCCTAAGAGGCGTGCAGGGGGCTCTTGGGAGGCAGTTTGGAGGCCGCTGGGGGGCTGTTTTGGGGCCTCTTGGGGCCACTTTTGGGGGCTCTTGGGGCCTCCTGAGGGCCTCTAGGAGCGGAAAGCCAGGATTGTCGGTTTGCGTTCCCGTCCCCTGTTGGGCGGCTTTTGGGGTCATCTTGGGGCCTTCTTGGCCCGTCTTGGAGCTGTCTTGGGGGCTCCTGGGCGGTCTTGGGGCGGTCTTGGGAGCGTCTTGGAGCGTTGGAAGTTCGAAAACGCGAGAAGGCCAACAAAAACCACAAAACAAACAATGACAATCAACGATGCTGGCCTCTTCGGGCGCTCCCGGGACGCCTCTCGGAGGTCTGTTGGGGCCTCTTGTAAGAGTTTGGTCGGGGGTGCGGGGGCGCGGAGGCCGAACTTCATTATCACGGGGAAAAGTTCGCCATCGAGGTTACTTCCTTCTTATGTTGAGATAACAACACCAAGCGAAACGATCACGTTTTTTTTTTTTTTTTTTTTTTTTTTTTTTTTTTTTTTTTTTTTTTTTTTTTTTTTTTTTTTTTTTTTTTTTTTTTTTTTTTTTTTTTTTTATATTAAAAAAAGATATCTTAAGCGAAACCAATGTCCTTCTGTCTCTTTGTAGCTCTTTCTGTTTTTCTTTCTTTCTTTCTCTGTCTCTCTCTCTCTGTCTCTCTATCTCTTTCTCCTCCTTCTCCCTCTGGCGCCCTGAACTTGTTTATCGCTTGGGTTGATTATCCTGGGAAAACGAGGCACGTGAGCTACCTACACGAGCAGATGAAAAGCTTAATTTTCATTGAGCGTTTACACATTAAATCTCATAAGTTTTAAACTTTGGATTTTTGCTATCTCCTTCTCCTCTCCTCCTCTTGCTCGTTCTCCTCGTCCTCCTCCTCCTCCTCTTCCTCCTCTACCTCCTCTTCTCTTTCTATATTTCTATCTATCTCTCTATCTTTCTTCTCCCCCCGCTGCCCCCCTGAACTTGTTTATCGCTGTGGTTGATGATCCTGGGAGGACGAGGCACATGAGGAATCTCTATAGAAACTCCGAGCTTCAGTTCCGTATCTTAAAAATATTAACAGCCGACACGTTCTTTCAGCCTCCTTAACGGGCTCCAGAATTTCCCAAATTCGTTTTTGGAATTAAACATCGATTTATTCATGGTGAATAATATAGAAGTGAAGCTCAGAGGCGCGCACGCGCACCTCCGAGCTTCAGTTCTGTATTATAAGAATATTAAGAGCCGACACGTTCCTTCAGGATGTTTCAGAGAGGACCAAAAGCCAAGGCTGTCTCAAGATATCCTCGGCTTTGCTTCCTCTGTTAACATCTTTATGCTGGTCCTGGTGGGTAACTTTTATTATCACACCGTAACCGCCGAACTTTATTCTCCCTGGGTGTTTATTATCGGCTGCATTCGGTTATCTATCTATTTATGTATATATATGTATACATCACATCATCTATAAACAAATATACCTATCCATATAATATGTATATATAGAATATATCGCATATTAGCACACATATATATATATATATATATATATATATATATATATATATATATATATACTAGAACCACGCGCGCGCTTCGCGCGCGCTTAGGTTCTGTCGAGTCACAGACCCAGGAATCGTTGCGAGAAGAAATTGGTGACGCGAAGCGTCTTGGGGGCGTCCTTGGACGTCTGGGGTCTCCTGGGGCCTCTTGAGGGGCCTCCTTGGGGCCTTCTTGGGCTCCATCTGGAAGCCAAGATGGATGCAACAAGAGGGTGCTTGGGCTCTCCGTGAGCTATCCTCTGGTTTTCATTCCCCTGGAGAGGAGAAGGAGGAGGAGGAGGAGGAGGAGGAGGAGGATGAGAAGGAGGAGGAGGAGGAGGAAGATGCAGAGGAGGGAGGAGGAGGAAGGAGAGGAGATGTTGGGGCGCTCTTGGGGCCCTCTTGGGCTCTCTTGGGGCTCGTCGGGGCCCTCGTGGGGCCACCTTGGGCTCCTCTCGGAGCTCCAAGAGGAGCCCACAGAGGGGCCCAACATCGGTCACGCGAGAGCTCTTTCGCGTGACCGATGTTGGGGCCCTCTTGGGGCCCTATTGGGCCTCCTTGGGCCCTCTTGGGGTCTCGACGGGGCCCTCGTGGGGCCATCTTGGGCTCCTCTCGGAGCACCAAGAGGAGCCCAAAGAGGGGGCCCAACATCGGTCACGCGAGAGCTCTTCCGCGTGACCGATGTTGGGGCCATCTTGGGGTTCCTTGGGCCTCCTTGGGCCCACGTGGGGCTCCCTCGGGGCCCTCGTGGGGCCATCTTGGGCCCCTCTTGGAGCTCCAAGAGGAGCCCAAAGAGGGGCTCAACATCGGTCACGCGAGGGCTCTTCCGCGTGACCTATGCTGGGGCTCTCTTGGGTCCCTCTTGGGCCTGCTTGGGTCCTCTTGGGGTCTCGTCGGGGCCCTCGTGGGGCCATCTTTGGCTCCTCTCGGAGCTCCAAGAGGAGCCCACAGAGGGGCCCAACATCGGTCACGCGAGAGCTCTTCCGCGTGACCGATGTTGGGGCTCTCTTGGGGCTCTCTTGGGTCCCTCTTGGGCCTCCTTGGGCCCACGTGGGGTTCCCTCGGGGCGCCCTCTTGGGCCCGTCTTGGGGCCCTCTTGGGCCATCTTGGGCGCCTCTTGGGCCGTCTTGGGGCCCTCTTGGGCTGTCCTGGGGCCCTCTTGGAAGCTTCTTGGGCCGTCTTGGGGCGGTCTTGGGCGCCTCTTGGGCCGTCCTGTAACGTCGGAAAGCCCAAAAGACAACTTTGTTGAAAATGTACGTTTTACGAAGGGAATGGGCAATTTTTGCGTCTAGGGGCCCTCTTGGGACGCATGTTGGAGGCTTCTTGGGGCCTCCTGGGGGCCTCCTGGCGGCCTCTTGGGGCGGAAGGCTCGAGCTTGCGGTTCGTGGTCCCCCTCTGGGCCCCCTCTTGGGCCCGTCTTGGGGCCCTCTTGGGCCATCTTGGGCGCCTCTTGGGCCGTCTTGGGGCCCTCTTGGGCTGTCCTGGGGCCCTCTTGGAAGCTTCTTGGGCCGTCTTGGGGCGGTCTTGGGCGCCTCTTGGGCCGTCCTGTAACGTCGGAAAGCCCAAAAGGCGACTTTGTTAAAAATGTACGTTTTACGAAGGGAATGGGCCAATTCTTGCGTCTAGGGGCCCTCTTGGGACGCATGTTGGAGGCTTCTTGGGAGCCTCTTGGGGGCGTCCTTGGACGTCTGGGGTCTCCTGGGGCCTCTTGAGGGGCCTCCTGGGGGCCTCCTGGCGGCCTCTTGGGGCGGAAGGCTCGAGCTTGCGGTTCGTGGTCCCCCTCTGGGCCCCCTCTTGGGCCCGTCTTGGGGCCCTCTTGGGCCATCTTGGGCGCCTCTTGGGCCGTCTTGGGGCCCTCTTGGGCTGTCCTGGGGCCCTCTGGAAGCTTCTTGGGCCGTCTTGGGGCGGTCTTGGGCGCCTCTTGGGCCGTCCTGTAACGTCGGAAAGCCCAAAAGACAACTTTGTTGAAAATGTGTACGTTTTACGAAGGGAATGGGCCAATTTTTGCGTCTAGGGGCCCTCTTGGGACGCATGTTGGAGGCTTCTTGGGGCCTCTTGGGGGCGTCCTTGGACGTCTGGAGGCCATCTTCAGCATCTCGGAGCCCTCTTGGAGGCCTCTTGGAAGTTTCTTGGGCCGTCTTGGGCGCTTCTTGGGCCGTCTTGTCTGACTGGGGAGGCCTCCGGCAAGCCCCGACGAGCCTCCGGGCCCCCCGGGGTGCACATTTGCGGTCGAGGTCCCGGCCCCGGGCCCCCGGACCCGGTGCGCCGTTATATGTATATATAAAAATAGAGAGAGAGAGAGAGAGAGAGAGAGAGAGAGAGAGAGAGACAGAAAGAAAGATAAAGACAGAGAGCGAGAGAGAGAGAGAGAGAGAGAGAGAGCGAGAGAGAGAGTCAGAGCCACCGTGCCGCAGGCACTGCAGCTCTCTCGGGTAGACCGGCGCTCGGCCCCCGCTCAGCGGCAGAACCCCTGGCCCCTCGGCCCCTCCGACGGTGAGGCTCTGCAGCGCCCCGCAGCCCTCTGCCTGCACGGCGAAGGAGAGAGAAGAGGGAGTTTGCCGGCGAGGGAGGGAGAGCAGTGGCGGGAGGCGGCGGCGGCGCTCCAGAAAGAGCTCAAGGACATGTCGAGCCGGGGAGGAAACGGGGGAGTACCCCCTCGTCCGAGTGCACGGCACCTCACCACACGAGGGGCACTGGCGGCAGCCCCGCGCTTGCACACGGTGGGCGTGCTCACCAAGACGGGGGGAGGGGGGGGCGGGCGGCCAGGACAGGGCGGGGGACGGAGCGGAGAGGAGCGGTCGGAGGGCAAGACGGCCACAGAGGCATGCAGTGCCCGGGCAGTGCCCGGGCGGGCGCGCGCACTCTGCGGGACGGGTGCGCGCGTGCGCAGGAGCACCACGGATGGGCGCACGCAGGTGTCTGGTGGCGAGGTAAGCGTAGGACACCATACCGACATACACGACCTCAGGCAACTCATCACCATGTACACGACCTCAGGCGGCGAATCATCATGCGCCTGCGCACGCTGCCACCCTGCGATCTTCTCACTGGCTGCCAAGAGCAGGGTTCTTGGATAGCCTCCGTAGGATCAAAAGAAGGTTTGCAACATCATGACAGTCTAACACATGATCGACACAATCTGACCGAAGCAGAACAACACTTGTGACTCACGCCGTTAGACTCGTGATCGAATGCCGCTCCCCGCGCTCGCGCAAAAAGCATGCTTCAAACGAAGCCTCACCTCTGCTGGAGCTGCCCTGCCTTGGCCCACCTATCGTACACGAGCACTGCCAAACTATCTCTACAAACTTATGAACCATATTGGTCGCGAAATCTTCGGTCCTCACCTCTGCACCACTAGAAGAGATAATCTCAAAGGCTGTCCATGCCTCGTCTGGGTGCGCCAACTCTGTCTCGTCCAGATCGACGGTGGCTTTGGTACTGCAGTTGTCTTCGTCTCTCTGGCCTCCGTCGAAGCTGGCCCCGATGCACAGCAATGGATTCAGGTGTGCACCGCGGCTGCGATTTTTTCGTTGTAGTTTTCGTTTATATCTCCGTTTGCATTCATCACCTGAATCGTTCGGCTGTCCCCACCTGCCTGTTTGCCACACGATCGACATGCCTCCCCCAGCATTTGCCTGCCGCAACCATCCTCGCCTCCTCAAACCGATCAGCGTGCGCTGATCGTGCCGAATGCCGGATGAAGATATGTGCACGTCGGCGACGTAGCTTGTGTAAGCAATAGCACCAGCGCGCTCACAATACTGCCATCAAAACCCGGAGAAAGCGGACAAAGGCAGGAGAGCCCAGAATCGAATCGATAAATCGGATCGGCAATCGACATGAATCGGATCGGCGGAAATCGGCAGCCGAATCGGGAAAAGTCGAATCGGCGGAAATCGGAAGGCTAGTATGCCTCCAATAAGAAATCGGACCCCAAATCGGAATCCGAAATCGAATCGAATCGGAATTGGAATCCACCGAAATCGAATCGAATCGAATCGGAGAAATCGAAACGAGCCCTGCAAAAGGACGTGAGCCGCGCTCCGCGCGCCGCAGTGGGTGCACAAGACCGCGCTCCCCAGGTTCCTGGGGAGCGCGCGCAAGGTGCGATCGAGCGAACGGCTGCTCTCCGCCCAGCGTAAGAGCGCGCGGGGGAAGAAGGGCAAGGGCCGACCGAGAGCGGCGAGCCCGCAGCCCCACCGCGCTGGGCGTGTGCGGCGCGCGGGCGCGAAGCCCCACCGCGCCGGGCGTGTGCGGCGGTGGGCCCAACGCCCGCATCGCCAGGCGTGGGCGACGGCGGGCCCGACGCCGCCCACAGGGCGAAGGGGGGCGGCGGGCGCCCGCCGCGCCGCTGCGGCCAAGGCGGCGCCCACGCCGTCTTGCCTCGGCCTGCGGCTGCTCCCCGCAGCTGCCGCGCCTCGCCGCCGCCTCTGGCGGCACGGCGCGCCCGGCGCCGCCGCCGCAGAAGCCAAGCCCCTGCAAACGGGGCGTTCGTAAACGGGGCGGTAGCTGCGGGGCCACTTCGAGCGAGAACGGGGGGACAGGGCATTCACCTCGCACCAGTGCGAGACACCTCGGGACGACAAGCACGTCGACACTACACCACGACTCTGGGCGTGGGGGGGTGGGCACCTCGCACTTCTGCGCGGCAAGCCCCTTTTTCGAAAACACCATTGAAAACGCCCCCTTAGCCTCCGACCCGTTTGCCAATGCCCCGTTGGCAGGGCCCTGGAGGAGGCACAGAGCGCCCGGGCCACGGCGGCGGCGCCTCCTCGCCGCTGCGCCGGGGGCTCCTCCGGAGGCCGCGCTCGGGCGTGAGCGCGACGGAAGCAGACGGGTCTGTGCGCGAGAATGCACCGCCACCCTACACCCTGCGAAATGCTTAAGAAATCATGGGTTAAGAGATTCATAGTCTCAGAACTTGAATAAAAGCCCAACGTTTCCACTAAAATCTTCAGATTTACATTGAAACGTTAAGAATAATCGAGACTCTGGCCGAAAACTTGAGTTTTATTAAGCATCGCCTAAGGTGTATGCTGTGGCTTGCGGGGGCCGCCCGCACGGCACGCCACAGTGGACACGTGGGCGCTCATGCGCGCGACCTCGGGCGGGCAGCTTGCGCGCCGAGGTCGGCGAAGACGGCCCCGCGTTCTCCCGGCGCACACGTGACGCAGCCCCCTCGGGAGACTCTCCATGGGGGGGGATCCCATGGGGGGGGCAGGAGGGGATCCCCCCCATGGGATCCCCTCCTGCCCCCCCACGGGATCCCCAAGGGATCCTATGGGATCCCCCCCCCTGGGATCCTATCCCCCCATGGGATCCCCCCCCATGAAGAGTCTTCCGACCCCCGAACTCCAACGCTGCGCTGTGCTGCCCGCGAAGAAGCGCGCCGATGCAGCCGGCCCCCTGGATCGGGGAGACGTAAGGCTCGGGTTCGGGGGGCTCGGGTTGACCCGACGGGGCCGTCGAGAGGATGACGAGGTCCAGTCTGAAATTCGACGCGAGCTCCGGCTACAGAGATCCCACGAAAACAAGACCGTCAAAATTCAAGACGGGTCCGTCAGCAAAAGCATCGGCGAACCCGAGCTCCGACGAACTCGAGTCTTGCGCCTCCTCGATTGGAGCTCGCACGGCCGATGCCTGCGTGCACGGCAGCCCTCCTCGGCGCTGCAGGCTGCGGCGGACAAGGAGGCGAGCCGCCTTGCGCCAACCAACTAAACCGCCCCAGCACGAAACAAGAAACCGGCAGCGCGTTGGCACGGAGGTCACCACGTAGACTGACACAGTAGTCTTGGCGCGCGATGCGTTCGCCAAAAAACGTCGGCCGCTCGATGGCATGACCCCGAAAGCGTCCTGCTGCGCTGTGTGAACTCTCGACTCCGCGCAGAAGTAACCCTACGCTTAGGTCGGGCTTGTCCCCCTACAGGCGGATTTTGGTTGAAAAATTAAAATTTCTCAGAACAGATTCCCAAGATGCTCATAGTAAAAAAATCGTCCCCAGACTATTTTCCTAATATACCCCCTGTAGAGGGACAGGCCCGACGTAACCCTAGGCAAGAGTGACCTTTTGGTGCGCGGCGTCACGGGGGACGCGGTGTTGCCAAACCTGGGCGCGCAAGCCGCTGCTGCCGCGTCGCGATCCGCGATCGAGAGGCCCCATTGGGCCCGCGCCATGGGCCGCTCTGGCGAAAAGTCACTCTTGCGTCTAGTCGACGGAACGATGAAGTAACGACACGCGCTCAAACCTATAGGGAGGCGGAACGGGGAAGGGCAAAACGATGAAGGCGCTACAGGTACGGGTGCGAGTTGTCCGACCCCGAGAGGGGCTCCTGTTCGAGCGGGGCCCCCGATCCGACCGCACGAACCCAGCCCCCCCATGGCATTCCACCCCGAGGAATCTGAAGGTCGCAGAAGTATAGGCGCTTGATGTCAGCTGATGATACAGTTGCAACCCGACAGGAGCCCTGGCCAGGAATGGGACAGCGTGAGCCGAGGCGCAAAACCTCGCCCGGCCCCTGGCGGGAGCTGGGGAAACCAAAAGGTTCCAATACCGCTGCTCCCCGGACCTCTCCTGGGGTGCGTTCTGACGGATTTCGAGGCGAATCCAGCGGTGGCGGGAAAACGGGCGGGGGGGCAGAGGCATGGGTGCCTTTTTTCCTCCCCGGAACAGCCGCCTGCGCCTCCAGCCACCCAGGGCACCCGACAGCGCCCCGCCCGCAGGGCCTCCCCGCCCGCCCGCGCCGCCCGCCGCGGCCACACGAGGGCCGGCAGCACCTGCCTGCCGCAGCGACGCGGGCGGACCACGGAGACGGAGCGGCCGGGAGCCTGCCGGGCCGCGGCCGCGCCCGCGGCACGCGAGGCAGGCCACGCGCGACGCGCCCAGGCCTCGGGGGCCGTGGGGGCCTCCTTGGGCACCCCTGGGGGCACCCTTTTGCCGAGCAGAGCCCCCCCAAAGGAGCCGCAGCGGTTTCGAGATGGCAGAACTTCCCACATGCTGCTCTCTTCCAGCTGGACCGCGGGGAAGCATCATGGCACGCCCGCGCGTCTTCTCGAGTGCCCGCGCGCCCCCAGGGTGCCCCACGGTGAGGGGCCCTGGGCCAGGGGCACTTCTAGCAGCACCCGACGGGGCTCCACCGCGCGCGCCCTGCCAGGGCAGAGCGGCGGACAAGTGCAGACACACAGGCTTGCAGAGGTCCGCGCGGACTTCCTGGACGGGCGCTGGGCGGCCCCCCCCTCTCTGGCGTGCGGAGCGCGCCAGGGGGGGGGCACAGCGCCGATCTGAGAAGCCCGCGCTGGCCTCCAAAGGATCACACTTGTCGTGCCACCAGAAGGGAGCGCTGCCTCATGAACGAAGGGGCTGTCTCTGGCCACGGCGAGCCTCGACTCCGAAGAGGCTCCCCGACTTCGACTCCCGGAGCGGCCCGAAAATCAGCACCGCGCTTGAGCCGAAGTGGTCCTCACTCCCGCGTCTTGACCGCACGCCCGTGCAGCTCTGTCTCTCCTTCGATCCAGGGCAGCCGGGGGGCGCTAGGTGGCTCGACAAGGGGGAAACACGGGCCCCGAGGGAAACGGGCCCTGGACCCTGGCGCCCCTTCCCGGGACCAGGTCCTCATCCCGAGCCGTTTTCTCTGACAGCCTCGGGGCCCGTGGGTGGAGGAGGGCCCTGGGAGCCCAGCACGTCGAGACACCTCATGACCCGTTTTTCCCAGGATGAGGTCGGGCGTGTCCCCCTACAGGGGGATCTCGGACGAAACATAAAGACGAGTCAAAACAGCAACCAAAAACAAATCAAAAAATGGTCCCCAGACTATTTTTTTGACTACTTTGGAATCTTCCCCCTGTAGAGGGACAGGCCCGACTTGACCCCAGGACCCGTCTTCCCCCAGGGGCGCGGCGGCGGCGGCGGGGCGTGCCTGCACGCCCTCGTGGGCGGGGTGCGCCCAGAGGCCCTGCACCACCGCCTCCATCGCCCCCGCGTCGACGGCGGCGTCCACGCGGGGGTTGGTCTCGCCCCCGGGGGAGTGCCTGAGGCCCCGGTGGGTGCGCGGAGGGCGGAGGTCATGGCGGGCACAGCAGAATCTTAGTGCAGCAGGGATGATGAGACTGGTTCGTGCGAGTGGTGATGCAGGCAGCCCGGGTACCCAAGACGCGCGACAAGGATGCAAGGGCCTGCCTCGGAGGGCCATGCCGACACTCTGCGAGCGGGGCGCGGCCAGCGACCGCGCTTGGGCCGAAGGGAGAGGACGCGAGGGCAACCTTGGATAATCGCTATCCTTACTGTGCGGGTTGACTGTAACGATATGACCAATACTACGGATTCAAACAAATTACCCCCGTGCGACCCTACCTAGAAATTGGAACCCCTATGAAAGCAGCATCAGTTGCTATGCTATGCTATGCTATGCTATGCCATGCCATGCTATGCTGCCCTATGCTATGCTATGCTATGCCATGCTATGCTGCGCTATGCTATGCTATGTTATGCTATGCTAAGATATGCCATGTCATGCTGCGCTGTGCTAAGCTAAGCTATGATATGACATGATATGTTAAGCTGCGCTATGCTATGCTATGCTGTGTTGTGCTGTGCCGTGCTGTGCTGCGCTGCGCTATGCTATGCTATGCTATGCTATGCTGCGCTATGCTATGCTATGCTGGGCTATGCGATGATCTGCTATGCTGCGCTATGATATGCTATGCTATGCCGTGCTATGCTGCGCTATGCTAGGCAATGCTATGCTATGTTCTACTATGCTAAACTATGCTATGTCATGCTGCGCTGTGCTATGCTAAGCTATGCTATGCTATGCTAAGATGCGCTATGCTATGCTATGCTGTGGTTGCTGTGCTGTGCTGTGATGTGCTGCGCTATGTTATGCTATGCTATGCTATGCTGCGCTATGCTATGCTATGCTGGGCTATGCTATGTTATGTTATGCTGCGCTATGCTATGCTACGCTATGCTATGCTATGCTGTGCTCTGCTATGCTAACGCTCAACGAAGCTAAGATGTAGGTAAATCAGATGAGCCTGAGCTAAGATGAAGCTAAGCTAAGCTAATATGAAATAAGCTAAGCTAAGATGAGATAAGCAACGCTAAGCTAAGGGGACGCAACTGGGGGAACCGCGTGGCGGATCCTGGGGGAACCGTCCGGGCCGGTTCCCACTGCCCGGCCCCTTTGAGCCCACAGAGTAAGAACCCTTCTAGGCAGAGCCTGGGTAGGAAATGATCATCCAAGCAACAACACGTACATACCTCTGCGACCATCTTTCGGGTGATGAGGTGAATGTGGGGTGGTTAATCACATGATGACAACCGCAAACACCATCGGGACACCACCCGGACACCATCGGGACACCAATCGGGACACCAATCGGGACACCACTGGGACAGCATCGGGACAACACCGGGGTACCATGCATCGGGACACCATCGAAACACCATCGGGAAACAACCAAGTCACAATTGGACCGCCATCGGGACACCGCGGGACACCACGGGATATCACGGGACACCACCGGGACACCATCGGTATACCACCCGGACACCATCGGGACACCATCGGGACAACAACGGGGCACCCCCAAGACACTATCGGAACACCAACGGAACACTGCGGGACACCACGGCGGGACACCCGCGGCCACCGCTGCGCAACCCGGAGGGGGGCGATCTTTTGGCCTGGTGGCGCCTGATCAAGAGGAGGGTTCACTCCTCTCGCCCGCCCACGCACAGTCACGCAGTTTCGCCTCGCCCGCACGCGCGACACAAACACGAAACCGAAACCGATTTCCTGGTAGGGGGGGTCTCCGATTCACTTCTCGGCGGCAAGCGAGGGAGGAAGTGAGAAGGAGAAGGCCTTAACAGAAGGTTCGGAGGTCCCCTGGCCTTCTGAAAAGTTTTCTAAGCCTCCCCTCAGGGCGAAACACTTCTCAGAATGCGCGAGGGCTTCTGAGAAGTCCCGCCGCCTTCTGAGAAGGCCTTGTCCTTCTTATTTTCCCCCCCGCTCGCCACCGAACTTCAACCTCATCCCCCAACATGCGATGCTTTCGGAGGCCCGCGCGGATTTCTTAAGTCGGCGCTGGACCACGCCCCCTGTCGCGAATCGCGACACGGGGCGGTGCCAGAGGCGCTGCAAAAGGGGGCCAGCGCCGACCCAAGACATCCGCGCGGACCTCCGAAAGCCTATATTGTTGATGTTGTTCTCTGTCTCGCTTTGAACAGAGCGCTCTTTGGACTGGAGCACTCCTTCCTCCTCCCGCTTCGCTCCACCCTGTCTCCTCCTGCCTCCTAATTCCTGCATCCCACGACGTATTTTCTTCCTGGCCTGGCTTCTGCCACGCCGTGGCTGGGTGCTGCCGACTGTGCAGCCGTCGCGACTTTCGCGGGCTCCTGGGAGGTCCAGCGGAGTGGCGCTTTACGCTGATCCAGAAGGAGACATCGCCTTCACTGGGGGCTGCCAACTGCGCAACTGTCACAACCTTCGTGGCTGCATGGGTGGTCCAGTGGAGTGGTGTCCTACGCGGATCCAGAATGAGACCTCGCTCTCCCTGGGTGCTGACAACTGCGCATCTGTCGCAACGTTCGTGGATCCCCAAGAAGGTCAGCGCGGAGTGGTGTATCACAGGGATCCAGAAGAGACCTCGTCCCCCCCGCGAGCTGGCAGCCGTGCAAATGTCGCGACATTCGTGGGCTCCTGGGAGGTCCATCGGAGTGGTGCCTCACGCGGATCCTGACGAAACCTCGCCATGCCTGCGGGGTGATAACTGCGCCCTCCCTGGGTGCTGTCAGCTGAGCAACTGTCGCCACTTCCGTGGGCAACTGTGGGGTCCGTCGGAGTGGTGTCTAACATGGGTCCAACCAAGCCTTGCCCTCGTTGGGGGCCGGCATCCGAGCAACTGTCGCCACGTCCGTGAGTTTCTGGGAGGACCAGCGGAGTGGTGCCTTACGCGGGTCTAGAACGAAACCTCGCCCTCCCCGAGGACTTGCAGCAGCGCAAATGCGCAACTGTCGTGGGCTCTGAGGAGGTCCAGCGGAGTTGTGTCGTACGTGTCCAGATCCAAACGAGACCTCGCCATCCTTGCGCGCTGGTAACTGAGTGCAGTTGGCCCGTATCATCAGGATGCGCGATAAAGATGCAGGGGCCTTGGACGCCCATTTCGAAGCTTTTCGAGCGGAGCGCGGCCAACGAAAGTGGCCAAGGATGGGCCGAGGAGGCAAGGATGCAAGGGTACCCTTGGGAAGGTCGCCCATCTTTACTATGCGGTTTGACTGTGCGCTTCGTCGCTTTTGTTGGCTCATGGGCGGACGCAACAATGTCGCGCCTTCCCTCGGGGCCGGCAGCCGTGCAAAAGCCGCCTCTGTCGCGAGCTCCCGGGAGTACTAGGCGAATGGTGTCTTATCCGGGTCCAGAACCAAACCTCGCTCTCCCTCGAGGCTGGTAGTTGCGCAAAACTCGCAGCCTCGCTCTCCCTGGGGGCTGGCAACTGTGCAGCTGTCGCTGCCTCCGTGGGTTACTGGGAGGTCCTGCGGGATGTCGTGCGCGGATCCAGGCGAGGCCTCGTCCACCCGGGGGCTGACAACCACGCAACTGTCGCCATTTTCGTGAGCTGGTGTCTTACGCGGATCCGACCGAGACCTCGTCCTCCCTGCGGGCTGGCAGCCGCGGATCTGTCGCCGCTTCCGTGGGCTCCTGGGAGTTCCAGCGGAGTTGTGTCTTCCGCGGGCCCAAACAACTAAACTTCGCCTTCCCTGGGGCTGGCAACCACGCAACTGTCACCACCGTCGCGGGCTCCGGGGGGGATGCGCCACGGACACCCAAGCGGGATCTCGCCCTCGGTGGGTGCTGCCCCCTAAGCGACGGTCGCCACGTTCGTCGGCTCCAGGGAGGCCCTGGGGAATCGCCGCCACTTTCGCGAGCATTGTTTCGTTTCCCCGTCCAGCGTGTTTTAGCGCGCGATGGCCGCGACCCCTGCAGCGATTCAGCCGGTTTGGCGCCTCGTCGCTTGTCGAACGTCCGCTGCGTGAGCTCTGGGAACGGCAGCGGTCTCGCCGACCCAGACAGACAGCCTTCCCAGGCGGCCCCGGCTGGCCTCAGCAGTCCTCCCGAGTACTCCTGGGCGGTCCCAACGCCGAAACTGAAGGGGCCCTGGGACGCACAAATCATAGACACAAATAACAGGATTCCCCATATTTTCAAATACCTTCGTTTTTTGTCCCGTCTTGCCCCCCACTTACCATCTTCCCCAATATTTTTGTAACGAGTCGACGATCAATTGTGTCTGTGTGTTCTTTTCCCTCCTGAGAGTACTCCTGGGCGGTCTCAGCGCCGAAATCCTGGGAGGCAGGTCGCCCCAAAGGGGCGCCGCCGGCTGCAGCGCCAGGACGCCATGCGCTGAGCCAGCGACTGGTGTTCGGCCTCGAGCGAGTCGACCTTATGCTTCGCCTCCGCGAAGAGGTGGCGAGCCATGTCAGAGATGCCCGTCTTGAACTGCGACACTCGGGGCGCCGATTGCTCCTTCTCCTCGGCAGACAAGGAGTCCTCCTCCTCCGCGACGGTGGAGAAGTCGCCGAGGTCAAGGTCGAACATGGCTGGGAATCGCTGCTCACCAAGGTCCTCCAGACTGAGTTTGCTTCCTGCAGCGGAAGTGGGCGTCGGGGCAGGTAGATCGTCATGGAGGCGCCGCACAAGTGCACTATGCTGACCCTCTGCCTCGACCAACTCAGACCGCAGCTGAAGCACCATAGACTTCTGCGCCGCCAGCGCTTGCTCCATCTGTTCGAACTTCGTGACCGCACTGTCCCGACGCTTCTCGACTATGCGTGCATGCTGATGGGCACGGTTGAGTTGAACCTGAAGTGGGGCAAGCTTGGGCGCGGGCTTCTGCAAAGCTGCCGCGGCTGTGCGGTGAGCTCGAGCGCCCTGCACGTCCCTGAACTTCTCGCAGAACGCGGCCATCTGGGAATACTCCTCTGCCGTGAGGGGGGGGGCTTGGGGACATTGTCGCCTGCTGGAAGGCCTCTGCCTCCGCCTCCGCCAGCAGGAGCAGCGGTGGCGCCCTTCCCGTGGCCCTTGTCCCCATCCTGCTTGCCATCACCGTAGCCGAGGAGCTCAAGAGTCTTGCCTGCCGACCAAGCGGAGGGCAGCAGGGCCGAGTCGCTCTTGAGGGCTCCGCAGTGATTGCAGTAATAGAAGCGGCCCTCGTTCTGCTTGCATCCACACCAGCAGCATGCCCAGCGCGTGGCCACGCTGCCAGGAGGGGCGCCACCACCGAGAGCAGCAGCGCCAGCACCCTGAGGACCAGGAGCGAGTGGGGGCCACGTTCTGGGGTCCTGGCGCCTGGGCGGGCGGCCCGCGCCATTGCCCTGCCCACCTCCAGGTGCAGGAGGAGGTGGCTGCGCCCAAGCACGGTGCCACGGAACCCAAGGGACGCCACGCCCCTTCCCGCCTTCGCCTTTGCCCGCCATCGCTCCTCTCGAGCCGTGATCGGCCACAGGCTCCAGCAGGAGCTCACAACATGAAGATGGCGGGCTGAGATCCCGAGGAGGAGGAGGAGGAGGAGGAGGAGGAGGAGGAAGAGGAGGAGGAGGAGGAGGAGGAGGAGGAGGAGGAGGAGGAGGAGGAGGAGGAGGAGGAGGAAGAGAAACATGAGAGGACAGGAGAAGAGGCGGTCAGGGAGAGCAGCAGGAGGAGGGGGAGGAGGATGGAGAAGAACGAGGGATGGTCAGGGGGAGGAGGAACAGGAGGCGGAGAGGGAGCGAGGAGGGAGGGAGCAGCAGGAGAGGGCGGGGGTGGAGTGGAGGCCGAGGAGCACGACCTGATAGACGTCGGCAGGAGGCGCACGCGAAGGGCCAGGGCGCGGCTTGCGGCGGCCTGGAGGACGTCAATGCGCTCCCGCGCCCGCAGATGACCCGAATCACCGCGAAGCCGCGCTCCAGCACCTGGCGGCGCCCGCCGCAGCCCAGGTGGCACCGAAGAGGGGAGGGCGCGCGCGCTGACGCGCGGCTGCGCGCGGGATCAAGCGGGGGAGGAGGCCCCACCCCTCCTTCTCCTGCAGCGTCTCATTCCCCTCTCCCCTCTCATCCTCCATCTCCTCCATCTCCTCCTCCTCCTCCTCCTCCTCCTCCTCAAACTGCCTATCCTCCTCCTGCTTATCCTCCTCTTCCTGACCACCCGTACCTCTTCCTCCTCGACCCGCTCCTCCTCCAGCTCCTCCTCCTCCCTCCTCCTCCTCCTCCTCCTCCTCGTCCGCGTCCTTCTCATTCTCCTCTTCCCCCTCCTCCCGTCCCAATTGCTCCTCCTCCTCCTCCTCCTCCTCCTCCTCCTCCTGCATCTACCCCACATCCCCCTCCCGTCCTACCGAAGCAAGCTTTCAGCTTTCGGGCCGAAGCTGGCGCGAGAGTTGAGACAGCCCTGCCACGTGCGCGCGGGAGCACGACACACCATCGACCTCGGCGGCGCTCGGAGGGTGGCGAGAGAGCGGGGTGCACGAGGGGGCTCGCCCAGGACTCCCCTCCTCGGGGGCCGACAGCTGGCCGAGATCGGCGCGATTCCCCCCGAACGCCCACTCCGAACATCGGCGGCACGTAAGAGCGACCCTGGGCAAGAATGCCCTCCGGTGCGCGACTTTCGGGGGCCGCGGGGAAGCGGAGCGCGCAAGCCGCTACCCAACGCACCTCATTCAGCCATCTGCGGGCCCCAATGTGCCCGCACCAAAGGTCACTCCGGCGAAGGGTCACTCTCTTGCGGATAGCCGCAAATCATCCGTGGAGCTGGTGGAGCTCAGCCGGCGTCTCCGCCAGCGGCCACGTGCGGCCCCGTCGGTCTGCAAGTGGGGGCGAGAGAGAGAGAGAGAGAGACGAGGGATGCTGCCGGAGGTGAGCGCTTTCAGATTCGGCGTGTCGACACTGGGCGGAAGGGGGGGGAGGGGGGGGTCGGACTGGCCCCAGACCTCTGCTTAACGCGACTGTTTGCAGCAGTGCGTCCTATGGGGAGACTTCACCTGCTTGAAGCAGGCGCCAACAGCCGCCAAGATCTGATCCGTCGGGGGGGGGGGAGGGGGCGCGAGGGCCCGCGCCGATCGGCAAAACAATGAATCAGAAAACGATCACAAGACGCCAGGCCGAAGCGGTGATGGGAGGGCTCTTGGTGGTCGGCGCAACTCCTTTTGGTGATCCTCCGAGCGTGTGTGATCGCGCCAACGTCCTGCCATCGCTCGGACTTCCATTCCCCGTTTTTGTTGTTGTTGTTGTTGTTGTTGTTGTTGTTGTTGTTGGTGTTGGTGTTGTTGTTGTTGCTGCTGCTGTTGTTGTTGTTGTTGTTGTGGTGTTGTTGTTTTGTTTTTGGTTGATATAATTCTGTCGGTTTAGTGCTTGTATTTTTCCCTAGATGGCCCCGACATGTTCCTTGATGGTCTTCGCCGAGGAAAAACACACGTCCGAGCGATGCCGAGACGTGTGCTCGACCACCGAGACCCTTCCGCAAGACGCAGGCCGCGTCGTGAAGGCTGGCACGGGCTGCGTGCTGTCGGCGGAGCCGGGCGGGGTACACATTCTTTAAGGCGGTGGCGCAGAGGGTCCTCAAGCGCGGGCAGCAGATGGAAGTGCCAAGTGCAATCGAGCATTGTCGAAAACACAGTGTACGAGACGTCGGAACGTGTGCTCGTCCACCGAGGCCCTTCAGCAACACGCAGGCCGTGTCATGAAGGCCAGCACGGGCTGCGTGCTGTCGGCGGCGCGGGGTTGGGTAAACGCTCACACACATTGGGCTACTTGACGTCACGTCGTGAGGATCGCCGATCCAGCCATATCGGGGGGGCACAATGGTGGGGTAGGGGCAAAAATGGGGTTGGAGGGAAAATCGCTCTGGACGGCCCCAGGAAGAAGAAAACGTGTTAAACGGGAGCATTTGGCTGGGCCCGTTCCCCAGCCCCACCTTGGGATAACACTCCGCCACGAAGCCCCGACCATACCCCCCAGGAGGAAGTCTCCGGGAGTCCCCGGAAGAGGACCAGCCGCGGAAAGTTCCGGAGGCCTCCTGGAGGCATCGCAGGCCACATGAATCGCTCAGAGACCTCGGCCCCCCCTCTCCTCCCCCAAACATGTGGCGCTCCGACTTGTTCGATGCGTGGGCCCCTCAGAACCTCCCGACGCCGGTCTTCTGCCCCGCACTGCTTCCTGGCCGCCCCGAGGTCCGCAACGAGCCTCCTGGGGCCGAGCATGGTGGCAAACCGGCCGCCACGATTTTCGTCGAGGCGCCAGATGTCTTGGTCCTCCCGCTGCTGCTGCTGCTGCTGCTGCTGCTGCTGCTGAGGAGGAGGAGGAGGAGGAGGAGGAGGAGGAGGAGGAGGAGGAGGAGGAGGAGGAGGAGGAGAGGGAGGAGAGGGAGAGAGAGGAGGGGGACAGGCATGAGGGAGGAGGAGGGAGAGGGGGGAGAGGCAGGAGAGGAGGGAGGAGGAGAGGAGGAGGAGAGGAGGAGGAGGAGGAGGAGGAGGAGGAGGAGGGAGGAGGAGGAGAGGAGGAGAGAGGAAGGAGGAGAGGAGAGGAGGAGGAGGAGGAGGAGGAGGAGGAGGAGGAGGAGGAGGAGGAGGAGGAGGAGGAGGAGGAGGAGGAGGAGGAGAAAGGAGGAGGAGGAGGAAGATGAGGAGGAGGAGGAGGGGGGGGAGGAGGAGGAGGAGGAGGAGGAGGAGGAGAAGGAGGAGGAGGACGAGGAGGAAGAGGAGGAGAAGGAGGACGACCAATTGACACAGTGGCGGCTCTCCCGCCTGGCCCAGATCGGCTCAAAATCGATCCCGCACCGACCCGTTTCCTGGGGCGGATCCAGCCGTGGCGGCGAGAAACCCCCAGGAGGCCCCCGAAAAGACGACAGGCGCCAGGGAGGCAGGCCCGCCGTTGTCTCGACTGGCCCTCGTCCGATCGTTGTCCTCGTCGTCGATGAACGTCGTCGTCGTCGTCGTCGTCGTCGTCGTCGTCGTCGTTGCCGTCTGCCAGGGATCGAGCTATAGCGAGCGGAGGCGGGCGCCGTGGCGCTCTGGCGCTGCGCGCACAGCGACGTGGTGAGCGCCGGCAGGCAACCCGCCTCTCGGCGCGCAGGGGGCCGCGTCGGGCGGGCCGCGCCGAAGGGGGGACGTTTTTGGTCTGTTTGTTCGTGCTGATATTCCCAAACATCCTGTGGTGTTGGGTCCTCGTTTTGAAAAGACGGTGCCTCGCGTCTCTTTCCTCTTCTCCTTCTCCTTCTCGTCCTCCTCCTCCTCCTCCTTCTCCTCCTCCTCCTCCTCACACGTTTCGTGGCCCCATAGGGAGCTCCAACTAAAACCCCAGCGGGAAGGTCCGCATGGCACCGCCGCCACAATTCGGCACACCGCTCACACGCTTCCTGGCCCCATAGGGAGCTCCACCGAAGGCTTCCATGGAAAAGGTCCGCGTGGTAACGCCGCTCCATGTAGGCACACCCCTCGCACGCTTCGTGGCCCCATAAAGAGCTCCACCGGAGGAACTAACGGGAGGGTCCGCATGGCACCGCCGCCGCAATTCGGCACACCCTTCACACGCTTCGTGGCCCCATAAGGAGCTCCACCGAAGGCCCCAGTGGGAGGGTCCGCGTGGCACCGCCGACCCATGTTGGCACAACCCTGGGACGCTTCGTGGCCCCATAAGGAGCTCCACCGAAGGCCCCAACGGGAGGGTCCGCATAGCACCGCCGCCCCATGTCGGCACACCCCTGGCACGCTTCGTGGCCCCATAGGGAACTCCATCGAAGGGTCCAGCGGGAGGGTCCGCGTGGCACCGCCGCCACAATTCGGCACACCCTTCACACGATTCGTGGCCCCATAAGGAGCTCCACTCAAGGCTCCAACGGGAGGGTCCGCATGGCACCGATGTCGGCACACCCCTCGCACGCTTCGTGGCCCCATAGGGAACTCCACCGAAGGCTTCCGTGGAAAAGGGTCCGCATGGCACCGCCGCTCTGCCCAGCGCGTCGTTCGCCCCCGCCGTCGCTCTGCCCAGCGGCCACATCCGTGCCCGCTATCAGCCAGCCTGTTAGCTCTCTGCTCCGCGCAACGGACGACCCGCGCGCATCGCCGGGACCATTTCGGGCCGACCAGCGCGCGTCGCGGGGACTCCGTGCGAGGCCGCGCCCGCAGCCGTGGACATGAGCGTGCACGGGCAACGAGGGAGACACAACACGGGGAGGAAACGGGCGCGATCCTCGTGAGGGGCGTGCCAACATGGGCGTTGACATTTGTGTACGTAGACTCGCGCGCGCAGACATCCACAGTCAGACTCACTCGTTGTCACACTCACCAGCTCTCAGTCTCTCGCACACAGACCTATCGTCTTCGCACGCATTGTGTGCCCCGCCACGCATGTCGGCACGCCCCCCACACGGTTCGTGGCCCCATACGGAGCGCGGGCGAATCTGATATTCACAATTGCAGTATTCACAACTGCTCATGGTTGGGTCCTTCGCCAGGCTCGATTGTACGGGTAGATGTCGGGGCGTGGGAGGGCCGAGTCTCCCGATCAGCGGCGCCTTCTCCGCCAGGAAGGGAACAGAAGAGATGCCGATGCCTGGTTGGACTGCAGCACTGTGCTCGAGTCTTCAGATCAGCGAACGACGCCGTCTCCGTCGACCCGAGCAGCAATTGAGGCCTTCGGGTGCTTCCCTACAACACGCGCTGCCAATGACCGCTTCTGAAGCCGATGTCAGGCGGAGGAGGAGGGGGAGGAGGAAATGGAAGAGGGGGCGGGGGATAGGAAGGTCGGAGGAGGAGGAGGAGGAGGAGGAGGAGGAGGAGGAGGAGGAGGAGGAGGAGGAAGATGAGGAGGAGGAGGAGGAGGAGGGGGAGGAGGAGGGGCATGGCGAAGAGGAGGAGGAGGAGGACGAGGAGGAGGAGGAGGAAAAGGAGGAAGAGGAGGAGGAGGAAGAGGAAAAGGGGAGAGGGAGGGGGAAAAAGAGGAAAGGTGCGATGATGATGGCAAAAGTAAACCCAGGATGCCCCGCCGCCGCTGGATCAAACCATACCTCCCTAATTTCCCTCCTCAAACGTCCCTGCACGCATCCATTTCGCCGCGGGGAACGACCTTCTGAAAGACGAACGCCCCAGAGACTCGCCATTGAAAGTATGGCGCAGGTTTGGAATAGAGGCGCCCCCCATCAGTCTGGCTACGTTAGCCCGTGTGGAACCCAAGCGCTGTGTTTCCAACCGCATATATTTTGTGCAATAGATGTGGAACGAATTATGCTGTGCAGTTCGTGTTGTGCAACCTATGTTGGGCAGCCCATGTGGTTAGACGCATGAGGTGCAATATCTGTTGTGCAATATGTGGGGCAGTGTGTGTGTGTGACACACTCTATCTGGTGCAAAATATCACGTGCAGAATACGGTGTGCATTCTATGGTGTGCACTCTATGTAGTGCGATATGTGCTTCGCAGTCTGTGTGGGACAATCAAAAGTTGCGCAATACATGTTCTGCAGCCCATGTTGTGCCTGATATGTTGTGTGATGGAGCAATCTAGGTGGTGCATTTCAGGTTGCGCAATCTATGTGGTGCACTCTTCCGGATGCGATTTAGGATGCACAATCGATGTTGTGCGGTAAGTGTGGAGCAGTCAATGTGGTGCAATCGATGTGGTGCAATCGATGTGCAATTCACTTGCCAAATTGTCAAGTCCACCTCTCGCGCAATCATCCCACCCACTCACCCCGCAACTTAGTTTTCAAAGCCCATGCGGGAACGATTGCGATGAGTGCTGGGTGTTGGCTGCTGCACACTACGGCCGCGCTGGCCCGCGCATGCTCGCGCGCGCAGCGGCCAGCTAGTTTGGTGCGACCGACGCGAACGCGGTGGCGCTGACCGCTCGGCTCATCCAAGCAGTCACTCCAGCGCGAGTCGGCGACTTGGGCGGGCGCGGTATCATGGCAACGTCGACAGTGGTAGACACGATGGTGATAGTAGCGATGCTGGTGACGACGCCGACAGCGATGACGGGGCAGCCAGTGACGGCGCTGATGCCGATCACGCCGGCGACGATGACGGCGTCTTCGTGTCGGTGATGCAGGTTTTGCAAAGAATTCGACATGCGCGCGCGACAGGCGCGCGAAAGTGGCTCGCATGGTAAAATTTGAAACGGATCGTGCCACCCCAGCACGCGCGCAAGGGCGTTCGAACGATTTCGACATGCGCGCGCGAAACTCGTTTGATAGCATGTCATGGAAATGTTGAAAAACTTCCGGTTTCTCAAGAATTCCCAAGAGCGTGCGCGCACGTCTTTGCTGAACATCCGTGTTGCGAAACCCTGTGTGCTTTTTTAAAACCATGTTTTTTGGACACTCGATTTGGGAATCCTTCCGACACCGAGAGTTTTTGATGGATTTCGGCATGCGCGCGCGACGACGCGCGCGTGCACTTCGTCCCATTTTTTTTACAGAGGAATTCTTGTCAACTTGCGATTTTTGATAAACGAGTGTGCGAACATAGACCTTCTTGCAAGGAACCGAAAGGGGGACCGATACCGGCCTTGCTGGGATAGGATGAATTCACAGGTCGGATGGACATTGGGTCAGAATCATTTGTGTTTTGCATAGGTTCCAGGGGAATGGATAAATCCGGGGGGGGGGGGTGGCAGATTTTTCATTTGAAAAGAAGGATAATTTATGGCGTGCAAGGTATGTTATGCGTATGTTGTGCGATCCATGTGGTGCGCAATACGTGTGGTGCAATCTATGTGATGCTTCATGTTGCGAAATCTAGGTTATGCAATCCATGTCGTGCAATGTATGCTGTGCAATACATGTGGGGCGGAGACGGGGCATCGACGGCGGCAACCAGCGCGGCGACCGACAGACAGGCCCAGACGACGGGCGGCGACGAGGCGGCGATGGGGCGGCGACGGCGGCAACAAGACCGCCAGACCGACAGGCAGGCCCAGTTCCGTAGAAGAGAAGAAAGAACCTCTAAGTGCAAGAAGGGTTTCGGGAATAATTGAGAAATAAGGAAGGCTCACAAGGCTTTACAGTTGTAGCGTGAGCCCTGTTATGCAACGTGGTCAACCTCAAATCATGCAGCCCTTGCGCAGCTTCAACCTTCTGGTCATGCAAGAAAGAAAATCGCAAGCGATACCCCATGTTGACATAGAGCCGCGTTTGACCCATGTAGTTTCGCCTAATTCCAGAACTTGTGGCCATGAGCGTGAACACATTTTTAAACGATAGTAAATTTTGTATATACCTATACGACCACCCTTCGGCTGAAAAGGCGGTTGGGGGGGGCAAAGAACTAACTGATGGCAACTGCGATGGTCGTGATGACGACGCTGCTGGTGATGCGCCCTCGACGGGACACCATCAGGACACCACTTGGGGCATCGATCGGGACACCACCAGGACACAATCGAGACACCATCGAACACCACCAGGACACCACCAAGACACCGACGGGACATCAATCGGGACACCGACGGGACACCAGTCGGGGCAGCGACGGGACAGCGGCGGGGCAGCGACGGGACAACGACGGGACAGCGATGGGACAACAACGGGGGGCAACAACGGGACAGCAACGGGACAGCGAAAGAACAGCGACGGGACAGCGACAGGACAACTACGGGACAGCGACGAGACAACGACGGGACACCGACGGGACACCGTCGGGACACTGGCGGGACACCACGGCGGGACAACCCGGCCACCGCCCGCCTACCGGGGTTGGCTCGGACAATTGTCCTGCTCCGCCCTAGCAACAGCGGGATCATCCCTCTCGCCCGCCCACGCAGCTTCGCTTCGCCCGCACGCGCGACACGAACCCGAAGCCGAGGGGGGTCTCTTCATTCCACTTCGATCTCACCCCCCAATCTCCGACAAGCCGGCCGCCCTTCGTCCGTGTAACAGTCAGAAGCTTTTGAAACAAATGCGCATGGCGCTGAGGCAAACTCCACATAGTGGAAATCATCCACCTTCCGTCCGAGTACCTGTTGGGAAATGTATGATAGGAACGTGCACGGCGCCGAAACGAAAACAACATTATGAAAACGGTCTGCCCTCAAAGCGTGCAGCTGCTGGACGCGTTGATGATGAATGTGGCCAGTGCTAAATCGATGCGTAGCCACATGCTGAACACCATCCGCCTCTAATATTTGTAACTAACTGCTGGAAGCTTTGACCACGAAACGGATGTTCGCGGCGCCAAAGTGAGACCCACTTTCAGGATTCGACCTGCCCTCTAGCCGTATAACTATTGGAACGATCACATGCAATAAAGACTTATCATCACATATAGTGGAGACGCACCAGGCGGAACTTCGGGCTCATCCAATCGAGACGCCTGGCTGCGCGACGACAGGAATTTATCGGCAAGGATGAGGGATGGAGAAGGAGAGGGAGGAAGAGGAGGAGAAACAATAGAGGAAGAAACGCAAGGAGGACCAGAGCAGAACCATGATGCTGAATAATACGCTCCTGCCCCAAATCTCCCCACAAGTCCTCAGAGACATGTTTCGCATCGGGAAGCGCCCGCTTAAAAGACGAACGCCTCATGGGCTTTCCATTCTGGCGGCAACCCCGTTTCGACGTGGAACTGCCCCGCCATCCTTTGAGGTAGACGGGAAGAGAAGAAATGAGGTAAGACAACTCCAATCCATGTCCAGCAAGAACCCAAGTTCCAGAAAGAACCGCCCTTCATCGGTATACGGTCAACCCGTATGATAAGCGATGAGGATGCCAGGGCCTCGGAAGGCCACGCCGACACTCTGCGAGCGGGGCGCGGCCAGCGGAATCGACCAATAATGAGCCGAAGGGGAAGGATGCAAGGGCAACCTTAGGAAAAAAAACAACTCATCCTTGCCAGGTGGGTTGACTGTGTGTTTCGTGCGGCGTCCCCTGACAAGGAGCCGCCCGCCGTCCCTGCAGCTGCTCCACGGCCTGGAACTTCTGGCGCTCACCTCTGACGAAGCACCGCGCCAGGCTGTACTCCCCCCGAAGCAGTGCTTGCACGTGCGGGGTTCGCACCTGCTCCCTTAGAAACCGGGCCCGCCGCCGCACCGGCCTGGCGGCCCCCTCCCCGCCCGTCGCCGCACCGCTCTTCCAGAGAAAGAGCTCGTGTGCCGCCCCGGAGGCCCCGTTCCCGCCCGTCGTCGTCGCCCCGTGGCACCCCTCCGCACTGCCTTGCAGTGCAGTCGCATCGCATCGCACTGTAAACGCACTGCGTTGCACTGCGTTGCCCTGCTTTGCATAGCGTCCTATTGCGCAGCACTGCTCCGCGTTGCTTTGCCTAGCTTTGCCTTGCTGGGCCTTGCTTTGCATTGCTTTGTGTTTGCTCTGCGTTGCGATCGCATTGCGTTGCATTGCTTTGCGCCGCATAGATCGCACCAAATGAATTGCACCACCTAGATTGCACCACCTAGGTTGCACCGCATGGACTGAAAGAGATGACTCTGTGGTGTCCACGCTGGCAAACATTTAGTCTCGAGGGCAACGCCCTTCGTCCTGATGACTGCCCAAGGTTTCGAATCGAGTGTACGCGGAGCCAAGAGCGAGCCAGATGTTGAACACCATCTGCCACCTCCATCCTTGCAGCTGCTGACGGTTTTAAGACGAGTGCACGAGGCGCCACGGCGCGAGCCGCGTCTTGGCAAAGCCGCAGGGCCTACGGGTGCAGCACTCGAGTGGCGAGACATCGACACTCCAAGACCGGATCAACACCGACGGCTTGGTCTTACTTTGGCCTCAGGTTGGGTCTCAGCTTGTTAGTGGCAGAGTGCTTCAGGGAGTCCTCACATGCTGATCCCATGTTTTGCTGGAAACGCCCTTGATCATCTTGCTGAAGAGTGCCCGCCCTTAGAAGAAGGGTCGTGGCCGCAACCTTTCAGTCGCATCTGGTCAGAGCGCTCTTTGCGTTCTCGTTGCAACGACAAGCGCCTCCTGCTTGCTTGCGCTGTGTGTCTGAGTTTACAGCTACTTTTGTCGTTTCGACGTGGACGTTGGTTTCTGACACCGCACAAATCGCTTAATGCTTTTTCCATTCTTTAACCCTGCATCATCTGTTCACTCTGCCACCTGCCGTCCACCAGGAAACAACCCCGGTGGCACACCACCGCAGCCATACCGGCGGGGGGCAGCGAAACAATCTCGCTCTGGAGATGCCTCGTTTAAAAAACGTCTTACGGCCGGGATGTATAGAAGCACAAAAAGCCACGTCGAACAAGAAACTGCTGACAGCACCTCCGTGACCCCGGCTCCAGGCCACGGCGGGTCTGCTTGCCAGGCTTTATACCGCATCTGTTCATTCACTATCTTAAAAAGTATGCTACCCAACGCCTTGGGCCTAAACCAACATATTGGAGCCTGTTCTTTTTAATCAGTCGCGATGCCAGGCGTGATCGGGGGAGGGGGGGGGGTCCCCCAGTGATCACCTCGAGGAAATCCGAGGGAAGCATTGCACACGTGTGCAGAATGTAACGTGACGTGATCCGGGGGGGGCGGGAGGGAGGGCGGGGGCCGATCACGGCCGTCATTGTCGCCTAGACTTAAAAAAACAGGCTCTTGGTCGGGAACGGAGAGAGAGGCCGCAGCACCTGGAGGAGGGAGTTGCTGGCGCAAGGGGCCAGCCAGCGGTGGGCGCGCCCAAGGAGTCGGGCACGCAGGACAGGGCGGACACCCCGGCGAGAATAAACTCTCGAGCCGAGTTGTCCATGTGGGCGACGATCAAAAACGGGTCTTGCGCGATGGCATATCAACCTTACGCCGCGGCTTACGCGGGCCGCTGGCACGGCACGCCGCATTGGAGACGAGGGGCGCTTACGCGCGAGCTTACGCGGGCAGCCTACGCGCGAATGTCGGCGCCGACGACCCCGTTTTTTGAGCGTCGCTCGTGTGATCAGTGGTGCTGATGCTGTCATCTGTGATGGAGCAACTCGAAAGTTATGAACGCGAGAAACGCTGGGATCCATCTCCTCCTCCTCGTCCTCTTCCTCCTCCTCCTCCTCCTCCTCCTCTTCCTCTCTTCCTCCTCCTCCTCCTCCTCCTCCTCCTCCTCCTCCTCCTCCTCCTCCTCCTCCTCCTCCCTGAGAGGCCTCCTGGATGGGGTCCGAGTAGATGGGGTCGCAGGATCTCGCCGTGTGCCGATGCATCGGCGATGCACTGGCGATGTCGGCGATGCATCGGCGACGTCGGCGTGGGGCAAATCGGGTCCCATATCGAGCCGCATCGCCCATGCATCGCCGAGGAGCCGGCGATGCGGCGCGATCCCCCGAGCCCATCTACGCCGGCCCCATCTGTCGGCTACACGTAAGAGTGACTTTGGGCAAGAGTGACCTTTGACGCGCGGCCTTTGGGGGGCCGCAAGGGGGCCAAACGCAAGCGCGCAAGGCGCTACTATCGCATCGCATTCGGCGATCGGGGGGGCCCCTTTGACCCGCACCACAGGTCACTCCGGCGAAATGTCACACTTACGTCTAGTCGAATCTAAGAGGCCCTAAGATCTGCGAGTCGGAGTCCGCACGCATCATTTCCAGCGAGGTCGCAAGACGCCGGCCAGCAGGACCAGGGCGGCCCCCCCGACCACCAGGGGCAGCAAGGGAGCACCCTCGAGGCGGCTCCGGGGCGGCTCGGCGGAGCCAGGGTGCTGGGCAACGCCACGGGCCCGCGGCCCCTCCGGGCGGCGCCCGGCCGCCGGGTCCGGCGGCACGGAGGACGAGGAGGAGGAGGGGGAGGAGGGGGAGGAGGAGGAGGGGGAGGCGAGGAGGAGGAGGGAGGAGGAGGAGAGGAGGAGGAGGAGGAGGAGGAGGAGGAGGAGGAGAGGAGGAGGAGGAGGAGGAGAGAGGGGAGGAGGCGGAGGGGGAGGAGGGAGAGATGGAGGTGGAGGAGAGGAGAGGAGGAGGAGGAGAGGAGGAGGAGGAGGAGGAGGAGAGGGGGAGGAGGGGAGGAGGAAGAGGAGGAGGAGGAGGAGGAGGAGGAGGAGGAGGAGGAGGAGGAGGAGGGGAGGAGGGGGGAGGGGAGGAGGAGGAGCGGAGGAGGAGGAGGAGGAGGAGGAGGAGGAGGAGGAGGAGGAGGGGAGGAGGAGGAGGGGGAGGAGGAGGAGGAGGAGGAGGAGGAGGGGGAGGAGGGAGTGGAGGAGGAGAGGAGGAGGAGGAGGAGGAGGAGGAGGAGGAGGAGGAGGAGGAGGAGGAGGAGGAGGATAGGAGGAGGAGGAGGAGGAGGAGGAGGAGGAGGAGGAGGAGGAGGAGGAGGGGGAGGAGGAGGAGGAGGAGGAGGAGGAGGAGGAGGAGGAGGACTGGCTGCGCGGGGTGGCCACGCGCGGCAACGAGTTGCGGGACATGCGGGCCATCCAGGCGAGGCTCGGGGGGTCGGCGAGCTGCTCGCCCGGCTTCCACCTCGCCTTGATGACGGGGTGCCACAGCCCGGGCGTGCCGGCGTGCCGCGAGATCGATCCTGCCACCGCAATCTCGGAGAGCCGGTCCTTCAGCTGCTCCCTGATCGAGGTGGCTACTTTGTGCAGGTCCGCCACCGTGCCCTCGAGGCACGACATGGAGTGTCCTCAGGTCCCTTACTCAGTCCTCCAGGGCCTCAGTCCTCCATTCTGAGGGTGCTCTTCGGGGCATGAGCCCAGATGCCCAACAGAGGCCCCAAGAGGCCCCAGAGCAGCCCCCCAGAGAGGCTTCAAAAATGATGCATCTTGGGCCCCCGAGATGTCTCGACGAGATCCCAACGAACGTCCAAGATGCATCAGGCCCACAATCCAGGCCGTCGTGGAGGTAGGTTGGGGCGCTCTTGGGGCTGTCTTGGGCCGTCTTGGGGTCCTCTGAAGCGCTCTTGGGGCTGACTTGGGCCGTCCAGGGCCGAACATTGCCGAAAATCGGGCCGTCTTGGAGCCCTTCTGGGCCGTTTTCGGGCCGTCGTGGGGCCGTCTTGGGGACCTCTTGTGCTGTCTTTTGGGGGGCCTCATGGGCCGTCGTGGACGTTGTGAAGACCAACGAAGCAGATGTGCTAATTAAACATGCACGTTTTCCCGAAAAGGAATGGAACGATGTTTGCCTCTTGGGCGTCCTTTGGAGGCCTCGTGGAACGTCTTGAGAACCTCTTCGGCTGTCTTGAGGCCCTCCTGGGCCTCTTTTGAGCGCTCTCGGGATGCTTTGGGGCCCACTTGGGCCTCCCTGAAGCCGTCGTGGAGGTAGCTTGGGCGCTCTTGGGGCTGTCTTGGGCCGTGAGGGTTCTTCGGGCCTCTCTTGGGAACTTTGTGGGGCCCTCAAGGGCCTCGCTTGGGTCATCGTGGAGCTCTCCGAGGACGTCTTGGAGCCCTCTCGGGCCGCCTTCGGCCCATCTTGAGGGCCTCTTGTGTCGTCTTGGGGCGATCCCTGGGGCCTCTTGGCCAGTCGTGGTCGCTGTGAAGACTAAGGAAGCAGATGTGCTGACGTTTAAATTCAGCTTCCCAAACAGAAATGGACAATGTCTGCCTCTTGGGCGTCTTTTTGGAGACCTCGTGGAGCGTCTTGAGGGCCTCTTGGGCCGTCTTGAGGCCCTCTAAGGCCCTCCGAGCGCTCTCGGGCCGTCTTGGGGCCCACTTGGGCCTCCCTCAGGCCTTCGTAGCGGTAACTTGGCCGCTCTTGGGGCTGTCTTGGGCCGTCTTGTGGCCCTCTGAGGCGCTCTTTGGGCTGACTTGGGCCGTCCAAAGCCGAACATGACCGAAAATAGGGCCATTCGGTCGGGGCCCGACGAAGCCAACCCCCTTACACTCCGCCTTGATATTTCTCCCGGCTAACGGATCGCGACGCTACGCGCGTTTTCCGTCATCCGCCGCCCCCTGTGATCTTGCCACAAGTGTGCACGGCGTGCCAATTGTCTGGGAGATTCTCGGTTCTTTCCTCAAAAACTCCCAGTGCGATCTCGGCCCAGCCAGCAGGCCAACCAGAAAGCTCTGGGCGACGCCGCTCCCGTCGGCTTTTTCGCTTGAGATGGCCTCAGGATGGCCTCCAAGGCGGCCGAGATGGCCTCCAAGGCGGCCAAGATAGCTCAAGAGAGCCCAAGATGGCGCCACGATGTCTTCAAGATGGCCCACGATGCACCAAAGACGGCCCAAGATGGCATCCAAATGGCCCTAGAGACTCCTAAGAGGCCTCCAGGACATCCCAAGAGGCCTCCAAGGGGTCCTCCAGAAAAGCCCCGAAGAGGCCAAACTAATCGCGTTTCCCCTGAGGTTGTTTGAAGGATTTGGGCATCTTTTCGGCCCTCCGACGGCCCAAGGCTGCCCAAGAGGCCCTCAAGCTCGTTCAAGAGGCCTCCAAAACGGCCCCAGGACGGCCCCAGAGGCCCCCAGGACGGCCCACGAGGCCTCCCGGACGCCCCTGAAGCGACTCACGAGGGCCCCAAGACGGCCCAGATAGGCTCCTAAGGTGGCTTCCGACGGCATCAGACGGGCCAGGAGCGCCTTACGACGGCCAGAGAGGCCCCCAAGAAGCCCCCAGAGGCCCCCAAACGTCCAAGGAGGCCCATGAGAGGCCTGCAAGAGGCCTCCAAGAGGCCCCCAGGAAGCTCCCAGGAGGCTCCAAGAGTGACTCAAGACGCTCCCAGGAGGTCTCCTAATCCTTCTCATCATCCTCCTCCTTTTTCCTCCCTCTCCTCATTCTCCTCTTCCTCCCCCACGTGTGCCCCGAACGGCTTCCACAACGGCGGGGGGAACGCACGGTCCAATAGGTGGCCACATTCTGCCCAACCGCTCGGCCACGTAGGCGTATCCTCAAGGCAGGGTGCGGCGGTGATTCGCCGCAGGCGTCTTCGATATGCAAGGTGATCTTCGGGGACGTCTTCCTCTGCGACACTGGTCACGTCCGCCTGGATGCCCACCAAGAACCACAAATCCTGGCCGCCCGGCTTCCTCGCGACGGTCAGCCCGCGGAGGTCCAGCAGGTTGAGGAAGAGGTCCCCGGACTTCCTGCGGTTCAGCAGCACCTTGGTGAAGGGCGCCCCTGTCTCGCAGGCCCTCCGCAGCCCCCGCAGGTCGCAGTCGCCCAACTGGCAATCGCGGTTGAGGATGCGGCAATTCCTGCCCAGGATCTCCTCCCGGCTGTACCCCGTCATCGCCTCGAACTCGTCGGACACCGCGATCAGGGGGCAGTCCTCGCTCCGCGGGTCCCCGATGCTGACGCAGAACCTGCAGTCCTTCACGGCGGCGACGATGGCCCTCTCGATGTTGGCGTCGTCGACGAGGGCCACTCCCTGCTGATCCACGACGGCGCTCTGCTGGCGCATGAACGCGTCCATCGAGAAGTCCTCGGCCCCGAAGTGCATGTCCGACATGATCGTCGCCTGCCGGGAGAGGGAGGACGCCTGGCGCGATACGACCCGAGACTGCTCCACCTCGTCCGCGCCCTCGAGCCACGTCCTGCACGGGGGCAGGCTCGCCAGGGTGTTCTCGCTGGCGGGCCTGTACTGGGGCTCCCGCGCGACCCACCAGGAGTCCCGGTCGCGGGCGCGCAGGGCGCCGCTGAGCGCAAACGTGGAGAGCTCCTCCGTGATCTTCGCCCGGATCGTGCTGGCCACCTCCCGGAGGCTGTTGAGGTGGTCCTCGGGGATCTCGTCCACGGCCATGTGCGTGACGTCGGCCTGGATGCCCACCAGGAACCACAGGTCCACGCCCGTCGCGAGGTCCTGCGCCACGACCAGGCCGCACAGGTCTATGAGGTTAAGCCGGGCCTGCCCCCCTCCAGGGGGATTTTGGACCAAAAATAAGTACCCCTCGGAAATGCTCAAAACAATGCTCTCACAAATGGTGCAAAGAATGGTCCCCAGAGTATTTGTTGAGTCTTTTTGGATATCGGCGGTGGACAAACCTCCCTTTAGTAAACCTCCCCTTAGTGAAAGCGGCCTAGGACCGAAACCGACCGACTTGGACCCGCAAAAACGACGCCCGCGACGCCCTCTCGCGAACCGAAAACTGCCAATTCCTCAATCGACGTGTCAGGGTAGGAGGTCTGTGCACCCCCGAGAATATTCCTCCTGTCGAGGGACAGGCCCGACTTAACTATGAGGTTGAGGAAGAGCTCGCCCGACTTCCGCCGGTTGAGCACCACCTTGGTGAAGCGGTCGCCGCCTCGGCAGCTGGCCCGGAGCGCGGAGAAGTCCTCCCGGGGGGAGAGAGAAGCACACAGACACAATTTATCGTCGACCCCCCAGAAAATTTGGGGAAATATGGGAAAAGCTCCTCCTCCTCCTCCTCCTCCTCCTCCTCCTCTTTCTCCTCCTCCTCCTCCCCCTCCTCCTCGCCTCCTCCTCCTCCTCCTCCTCCTCCTCATCTTCCCCGGCCTCCGTCTCCGCCCACTTCGTCGCCGACGTCGTGGTCCTCTTCAGGGTCGGCGGCACCGGCCGTCAGGCCTTCGCACTATGGGAAAAGTGGGGGGGAAGCCGAAAATCTAGAACATCTGGGAAAATATGGGAAGTCCTGGGACTTGTGTGTATCTATATTTGTGTGTCCCAGGGCCCCCTGAAGGCCTCGTGGTCCAGGTAGCAGTTCTTGCTCAGCACGCGGCAGTTCTTGCCGATATGGGAAGTGGGGGGAAGCCGAAAATCCAGACACCATGGGGAAACATGGGGAATCCTGGGATTCGTGTGTATTTACTTGTGTGTCCTAGGGCCCCCTGAGGTCCTCGTGGTCCAGGGAGCAGTTCTTGTTCAGCACGCGGCAGTTCTTGCCGATGATCTCGTCGCGCCGGTAGCCCGTCATCGCCTCGAACTCGTCGGAGACGGCTATCAGGGGGCAGTCGTCCTGCATGGGGTCCCCGACGGAGACGCAGAACCTGCACTCGGCGACCGCGGCGGCCACCGCCTTCTCGAGCAGCGAGGCGTCGACGGCGCCGGAGGCCACCTCGTCGATGGACGAGCACTGGCGGCTGAAGCACTCCTGGTCTGCGAGCAGCTCGACGTCGGACTGGCGGGACACCTCGGAGTAGATCGACACCTGGCGCGACTCCCAGCCGTCCTGGTCCAGGTCCAGGTCCGTGGGCTCGAGCCTGGTCGCCATCCCCGCCGGCACGCTCGCGCGAACCCGCGCTCTTGGACGCCCGGAGCGGGTACGGAAGAGATGGGCACGATGCCCCACCACAAATGTCGCCCCAAACCGACAGCGGCCGCTGTTGGGCAGGCGGCCTTCTGCCTCAACTGGACCCCCGCGGCGGCACCACCACCAAATCCTGTTCAGAATGGGTAGGAGCTGCTGTCAGTCTTCGCGCCCCTGAGCATCGTTTCACCGATCCCTGTCCCCACTGGCGTGGCCTGGGCCTCATTGGCCGATTTACCCCCATAGATTGGGACATAAGCTGTTCCCTTCGGGCTTCGACTGGTGTATCCCCAGTTGGGGTGGTGGAGTGGTGGAGATCGGCATGGCGATGGACCGCTGTTCGTTGGACCACTGATGGTGCGTGGGTCCATCGGGATGGCAGGGGGGGCCGCCCCACGAAGCTCCGCCGTGCCCGCAGGCCTCGGGGACGCGTCGCCAGGGCCTCGGGTAGTGCTGTGGCCTTCGCCCTGGCCAGGCCAAGGCAGACGCGACAGGCCTCCCCCCTGGGGATAGGGATTGGTTAGACGACACCGAGTCCACATTCTTTCCGTACCCATCTCGATCGTGTTGAGCGCTGGCCACCCGCCCCCCCGACACGGGGCGCGTGGGGGGGTGGCGCCGGTGCCCTCCCCCCCCCTTTGAGCCAAAATGGTCCCGTCGCACAATGCTGATATTTTGTGCAGGCTATCTCGGGTTCAAGACTGCGCAAGAGGTTCGGGGCTCACCGCGTAAGGACGTGAGCACGTGACCAAGCCTGCCCACGCGTGCTGAACCATAAGGCTACGATGATATGAACCCCCAGGAGACTTCACATCACGTGTGTCTCTCTCTCTCTCTCTCCATGGACCTGCGCGTGCGGACACTCTGCGAGGAGCGAGGAGCAAGGAGGAGGAGGAGGAGGAGGGGGAGGAGGAGCAGGAGCAAGAGGAGGAGAAGGAGGAAAAGGAGGAGGAGGAAAACGAGAAGAAGGAGGCGGAGGAGGAGGAGGAGGATGTGGAGGAGGAGCAGGAGGAGGAGGAGGAGGAGG